CACTCTCCTTACAATTTTAAATTGGTTAGTCTCTAAGGTGCCACAAGTACTCCTTTTCTTTTTGCGAATACAGACTAACACGGCTGTTACTCTGAAATCTCTCAATTGTGGCTTTTTATGCATCTAGTAATACGTTCTTAAACAGTTCCCAATCATTATTCACATTTTTGTGTTTAATTTTTTTCTCCCTGATCTGACCCAATTGTTTTCAACTTCGTAAAACTGGCCCTTTCGAAAAGCACCAGCTGTATCTGTTATTGGTTTGGACTTTATTCTTTTTCCACATAACACATGTAATCAAGTCACAGTCACTTGCACCTAAGCTACTTTTAGTTCTGTGATCAATTACTATTTATCAGTTAAGATGAGGTCTAATACAGAATTATCCCATGCTGGATGTAATACTTTTTGAGTTAGGAAATTGACATCTCTAAAACTTTTAGAAATTCCAAGGACACTTTAATGAGACCTCCAGCATACATCACTCAGATTGAAGTCACTTATGATAACTCTGCTTTTTTCCTACACATTATGGATGGGTGCTTACATATGTCAGCCATTGCATTTATCTGCAAAAGAGTTTAAAAAGTGATAATGGTAAAATACAAAAACACAAAGCACATTCTTTAAAGATTTCACACAGGTTTTTTTACTACAAAACAAGCAACAAAAATTTTTCACTACAAGTAAAGTGAGAAGCATTGTATCATTAGAAGATTTTTCACAGACCCAAAAGTCATCTTTACACAAGTGCAATTCACAGCTGAAAATTATTGGTGCAAATCTCACAATCAAATGCACAAGCAGCTCACAAAAGAATTAAACAAAAGTCCAAATTCTAATGATGTATTGTTTGTTTTCCAAACTTCCACTTCATTCAATCTTACCACATCTGTAACTCAAAACTTCACTCTAAGCAACTGCTTGGGGACTGCTAGGAAAGAGGGAAAAATCTGCAGAAAATATTATAGGTTCTTTACTAATTCTGTCTTCCTGTATTGTGTGTTACCCCAAAATATCTTCAACATCCCAAGCTATGCACCACCTGCTAGCCTGAAAAAATGACTGGAATGTCACATGGAAACTTATTGTTCACACTTTCCTTTGGAAAAAAACCAGTCATTTCATCCCACATTTGTTAATATCAACATGTCACATGATCAAGAGGTCTAGTCTCTAGTCTAGGTGTGGGTACCTCTAAGTAGAGGGACCCTCATCTAAGGGCACTTGAAATACATGGCAAATATTTACAAAAATGGCTGAAGCCGTTTTGGTGCCTTCATATGAAATACAAACAGAAGAAAAACGACAAACATTTTCTCACACCATTCTTTCCATTCAAGTTACCTTAACTCTGCACCCATTTGTCTACTAAATCTGGAGAAACTAATCTTTGTGGTCCACACTTCATTTCCCAGGTGGTCCTTGCAAGACCCTGGTGGTAAATAGCACGACTATGCATCTGTACAAAAGCAAGACTCTGCATAGGGGGCAAACGCACATTTTAAAATATATTAGTTATTAAAAAGTGCTGCAAAGCTCCACATTGATCAAGCTGTTTGGCCTCTACCAAGTTGTCCACTGCATTTTGTGGGAATTCACTGTATACAAGGGAAGGATACCAGAGCTAGGGTGAATAACATGAATGACGGTGGCACTATTTTAGCACAGTGAACCAGGAATTAGTTTCCAAGACACATTTTCGTCTGCCACTATCCTGTGGCCTCGGAACCAGTCTCAATGCCGTTTTGAAGTTATGGGTGGGGGAGAGGACAGAGAAAAGGGGACGTAGCAGGAGTACTAAAGCCACTGGTAGCTTCTTCCTTGGAGAATCAATCATACCTGTGCAATAAACTCAGACTTTGCCATTCCAGGCCCTTGGACCCCTTTCAGCAATAATTCATTAGAAATACTTAGCATCTTTATGGCAGTTTACATCTTCAGAGCTTTGCACAACCTTAACTATGGTTCACCCTGTAATTAATGTTCTCAGACACAGGGCTCCCTCATGGCAGTAAGTCTGAGTGATGCCACTCAAGGCTTTATATTCACAATCACGTCAAATGGTTACATATAGTCAAAACCGGATGTTTTATTAGCTAAACAGGAGGTCAGCTGAAAAAACAAAACAAAACCCACAACAATATAAAAGAGAAAATCTAGTGCAAATAAAGCCAAAGGGGAAAAAAACCCAATCTAAATGTAGACTCCTACAATTCAATAATATAACTTTTGCTGTACCATTTACACTGATTCCAATTCATATTCATTGTTTCAACATTTCCCACGGTCTCCCATAGAACTACTGTTTGAACGGATTGACATGAAGTGGGGGACTCCATTCAGTATTTTAAATAGGTTGACAGGAAATATAAAAGTATACATTTAGTTGTTTTGACTAGAACGGAAATATAAAAAAGTAAAAGAATTCGGCATGGATTCCTGAAATCTGTCACCCCAAGCATGTAACATTATTAAAACATGCTCTGGCCAACTGTGTCCACAAAGACAAAAGGTACAACTACATTCAGGCTGCATTACAGTCGTGTTGACCTATCTGCATTCACCAGATATTACTTTAAAAATTCTAAAACTGGCCTCTCTCTCCAAAAGCAGGGCATCCTCAACACGACTAGAATCTGAAAATATGGGGCTTAAGCAATGCATGTAAGCGCTACTTTCATTTCATTCTGTGCTGAGTCAGTACGTACGGATTTTCAAGCTATCCTCCCTTCTTATTAGGCAAGCCCTCATTTGTCTTTTAAATGTTCATTACAACTCTGAAGAATATGGTGGACGGAGCCAGGGATATGTGTCTGACGTCCATTGTTTTTCTGATTCCCCTCCCCTGCTCCGGTCATAAAAATTGTAGCCTATGATTCTAGTGGTCACTTTTGTTAGTATTACTGTTCCCATCACAGTAGCACACATTATGCACACACCTGATTCTGAACCGTCAGGGCAAAGGGGGGATATGACTGACGTCTATACAATCATGACTGGTGCGGAGAAAGTAAATAAGGAAGTGTTATTTACTCCTCATGACACAAGGTCTAGGGGTCACCAAATGTACTTAATAGGGAGTAGGTTTAAAACAAACAAAAGGAAGTACTTCTTCACACAACTCACAATCAACCTGTGGAACTCCTTGCCAAAGGATGTTGTGAAGACCCAGACTATAACAGGGTTCAAAAAAGAACTAGATAAATTCATGGAGGATAGGTCCATCAATGGCTATTAGCCAGGATGGGCAGGGATGGTGTCCCTAGCCTCTATTTGCCAGAAGCTGGGAATGGGTGACAGGGGATGGATCACTTGAAGATTACCTGTTCTGTTCATTCCCTCTGGGGTACCTGGCATTGGCCACTGTCGGAAGACAGGACACTGGGCTACATGGACCTTGGGTCTGACCCAGTATGGCCATTCTTATGATAAGAGTCAGGGAAATAGGTCTGCAGACTGTGGCAAAGGTTCCAAGTTAATCTTTGAGCCCTCACCTCCAATCCTGGCTCTCAGCATAACATCGATCAGAGCCTAAACACCACAGCGATGGGTGCCCTATGGAAACCTGAGATGACAGATTCTGTTGTTCTACACAAGGGTTTTCAGTCTTATTTAACAGCTGTGCTCAAGTATGGTTGAAATGTGGTTTTAGCCAGGGCTGAAATGGATTTTGGCTGGCCAGTGTGGGTTACAAAAAAACTCTTTGGTACAGGTAGAAATGGAAGCAAGAACATATTATTTCAGTTTAGTTATAACATGATTGGCTTCATCCATACTCATGGGCCAAATCATGATAAAGCTCCATTTGGCCCCAAACTGAGTTTGGACCAAGCTTCCATATAGTTCTCAAAACAGCTAAATCCTGTGCAGGCCAGGACAAAACAAGGGATTTTCTCCAGTGGAGTAATATTAAGCAGAGTTTGTAGGGCACACGGCATTGCTTCATGCAGCCAATGACAACCGTCAGACAATAAAAAGAAGTAGAAATCTTTGCTATCTCAAGACCACTCCAAGAGATCCCAAACCTACAGCTGCTGCAGTATGACTGGAACATTTAAGACAGAGGTTTCAACTTCAATTTATTAGAGACGGCAAGAGCATGCACACGTCTGCTTTAGGGCATGAAATTCCATTTGGAGTCTTCGGCAGGGTTTACACTAGCCCTTTTTCCCCTTAAAGATCTCTCACGCTTGCTAACAGGAAGCGGCTAGCCTAGGCAGAGTTCTAGGTCCCCACCAGCTTTTAACCATCTCATCTAACCCACCTCAGAGCAAGTCTACAGCCCATGGCAACAGTGCTAGTAAGGCTTCACTGGGGGCCATTCTCTACAGCAGCTGCCTTCTGTTCACAACGGTCAGCTTCTTGGAGTGGAGGCAGCACTGAAGCTACAAATAGCTGGAACTTGCAACCCATTCAGCAATGTCTTAGTAATAAAGCAAGGGATGCTTTTAATTACTTACGATGGTTTGAACTTGCTTTAGCCTTGGATATGGGTTTCTAGCTAGATGTGCTGCTTTTTAGATAAGCAGCACCTCATCCTTTGTGCTTACTCAGACAAAATTCCCAAGGAAGTCACTGGTGGGTTTGTCTGAGTAAGGGTGGGAGGAGAGGCGGCTTGGTGCGGAAGCAGCTGGACACACAAGTGGAAAGAATGGAAACTCCCCCCTACGCAGAGGCTGGCAAAAGGCCTGTGAACCGCTGAAGCCCTGGAAATAGCGATGTAAGAGGTGCACCTGCCTTGTACAGGCTTCACAGAGTCTTCAAAAAAATCACAGAACAACCTGAGCCACTATTAAAACCCCCCACAGGAAATAAAGAGACAGGAAAGAGTGTTGTGTGATGTCTATCTGAGAGTGATTACTTACCCACTTCTTAGGTGAAAAAGATCAAACACTCTCTGCTGTAAATTGCTTTATACCCTTTGTGCATCAGCTTGTTTTGTTATGGGTTAATGCCACGTTTGCACTGCTTAAAAAGAGTTCTGCTTATTTCTGTGTAAAGGTCGAGAGTGCATGCTGGTTGGATGGCCAAATCATCCAAATTTCATTGTAAATATTCTGCTTTCACTACATATTAATTAATACTTCAAGATTCAGGCATTTTAATTAAATCTTTGTGCCCAAGTGTATGCAATACAAGATTGGATACATACCTGAGAATATTCTTGCCACAGATATTCAGTTACACCTAGTCTGCAAAGAAGTGGTGCTATCCTTGACTCACATTTAAAAAAAAATATATATATATACCAAGAAACATGTTTGTTATCATCAACGCATGAAGCGTTACATAAGTCTGAACAAGGAGCTTTCTCCAGAGTCTGACATCATGTAAAGGCCACGGACAGAAAGGAGTTACTACAAAGAAAATAGATTTGTTAATACATTGTTAGTTGGCCACTGTGAAGAGCTGGTCTCCTAGAAAACTGTTTTCAAGTTGCAGTGTTCTTTCTTTTTATAAACACAGCAGATTTCCTAGTGTGACCCACTAATTCCTTTTTGGCCTGTATGGGGGAGACTTTCAAAGGCACAAATGGGAAAGAGTTAAGCATCCATCTCCTACTGAAAGTCCATGAGAACTGGGCACCTAACTGCCCTCTGTGCCCTTGACAATATCTTGTCCTATATTTCCTGCATGATTCCCAAGAATTCAGAACCACGGTATTTGCTAAAGGTAGTGCTGTTTTGTCAGATTAGGCACCGGGGGCTGATGCTTCCCAATTTACACCCTGTGTGGTCATCATTTATGCCTGCACAAAGTGAGCACAAAATGGGTTTAAGATCACCAAGTCACAGGGATGTCCTCCTAATAAAACAAAGAGCTGCCTTTGCTACTGACAGTTCTCACTGCCTTCCGCCAGCAGCTGCTTCACCACTCTGGCAGCGTGGTTGTACACAAAGAAACCTAACGGGCTGTTAAACGTGGGCTTTCGGCGACGAGTGAGGAGAGGGGAACTGTCACAAATATGTGACCGCCACTTCCTTTTCTGGGAAAGCAACACTATCAAGGGAAGTGGCTCTACCTAAAGCTCGTATCACTGGAGAGAGTTGGCAAAAACAGGACAAATTCATCCCGGGCAATTAAATGGAGTTTCACCAGCGATTAATCCGGCCCAATGTGCTTAGCACATGTATCCACACTTGTACTGAGGAGACCAGCTCTTTCAGTCCAAACTCTGATCTGTTTCAGCAGACCGAGTGCATCACATTGCAATGGTTATTACACAAGTGGAGTGCTAGGCTGGCTCGGTACCACGACACGTGTCTGGGGTAGAATCAAGGTACCTTTGCATTAAACTGCTATCAACAGAGTTCATCATTTAAAAAAAACCTGAAGGCGAAAAGAGCCTGGGTTTGGTTACACATCAGAGGTCCGGATGTTCTCGTCGTCCAGGTTAAACACAAATGGCTTCTCTTTAATGTGCTGGGGTTCAGATCTGTGCCGTACACGCCTCTGCTGCATGGCTCCAGCGTCACTCTCTGTGAAGGAGGGCACAAACACCGAGTCTCTCATATACCCGGGCATCTCCTCGATCACGGGCTGCTTCCCTCCTGGCTGCGGCACTGGTGTCCAAGGCTGCCAGGACGGGGTGGAAGGTGTTTTGCAGAGTGCTTTCCTCTCCTCCCCTGGGTGTCTCATTCGGGGCAAGGAGGGGATCAAGGAGCTTGAAAGATTGGAGCCCCCAGGCCTGCTCATAGAAGAAATGGATCTCACGAAAGACATTTCCTGCAAAAAGACAGGCAGAGCAGAGGGGGAAAGGTGGGGGTTAGTTCCTGTAGAAATTGCTCTAAGCATCCTGGAGGACGATTCTAGAGATCAGGACTTTAGCACTGTATATGCTTCAGGCTTCAAGGCAAGGACAAGAGAATTAAGTGAACTATGCAAATCTGAATTCAATTAGCTTTTGCTGTTGCTGAATCTTTTCCCCAGGCTTCAGGGAGCATTGCTGATATCATAGCCAAGCTCGACTGAATGATTTCTCCTAACTTGTTGTTTTTTAAACTTTTTTTGGATGAGTGGTAGACAAATCCAGAGACAGCATGGTCTCATCCTGGAAACTGACTAATTCACTGAACGTTTGCATGAGCCGCTAAATAAATCATATCAGCTTAAAAATAATGGATCTTTAATTGATGCTAAATGTGAAAAGGAAAGGATATAACCTACCCTTGGGCGGCTTTTCAGGGCCTGCATCGCCTCTGTGATTGCTTTGATCCAGCTGTGCATATCCTCAGGGCTGTCTGCCTGCAAAACATACCAGACAAAAATGAGATTTCTGCCTGCATTTTACAAGTCACTTAGAGCAGAAACAGTTCAACCACGCTATCCAGGGGGTCTGGCCAGTGCATCTCTGATGTTAACAAGTACCACATATAGAGCATGGGACGAGCTTTCCTTAGGTCATAGATCTGATGACCTTCTAGTTCAGCCCAGATCTATTTTATAACTAAAAACCCTGTTCAATTTCTGTGAAATTGCTTCACGTGTGTCATTAGGATTTCACCCACTTGGAAAGTCCAGAATGGCTGAAATGTACCAAAAACAGCTTGACTTTTGTTTACATTTATGAGACAATCTTCAGGGGTGAGTAAATCATGCTTAGCCTGACTTCTAAGGTATCCAAACCCAAAAGCTCAGGAAATCAACACATACTGGGCCCTCAGGAGGCACTCAACATACTGCAGGATCAGACCCATTATTAGCAGCTCGTTCCTGTAATTCTCCTGCAGGGTGATTTTTGTCTGATGAGACAACACCATATGGCCAACCTCTTTAAAAACCAAAACAGGGCTACCCCCCCACAAAAAACACAAAATGTAAGTTACAAACCAACTCCACCAGGGGGCAAGAGCTATACAAAGAATGTGGGGAGCAGAGACGTTTCAGTGAGCCTGGCCTCCTCACCAGCGCCTTCCCGCCCCCGTGCTAACCGAGGGAAACAGTCTTTAAAAACATGAGAACCCCCTCTGCCCCCAGCCATCCTGCACCGCCCCTGAAGGAGGGACATGAAGAGACCAAACAGGCCTTTTCCATCTCCGATTGTTGCGGTTCCACGGCAGTCCTGATCTGGGCCAGAGGACAAGTGGCACAGTGCTGTATTTGGCTGTCTCAGGAGACCGGCAGTCAGGTCCCACGCTCCCAAGTCAGCAGGGGTTTGGGGCTTTGCAGATGTAGTTTATTCAGTCCCTGCGTGGCAGGAGGCACCTTACATTGCTTTCAGGGAGCAGCTGGAGACCACTCTGGAGCCAAAACGCACCCACATATAAACCAAGGCTGAGCCTGTCAGCTGAAGCAGAAGCTGATAAAGCCCAGTGATTTTCCAGGCCAAACTGAATTCTGTGCTGCAGAACCTCCCCCATGGCTCTGCACAGGCAGAGGACCTTCCAGGGGGCCCCGAGACCAGGCACTCTCCTGATTACAGTGGTTCCCTCTCTGCCAGGTAAACTCCTTTCTCCCACATACACAAACAATTCCCAGGCGCCCACAGAACAAAATCCTGCACAGCAGCCACAGGAAAGAGCTTTGCATGCTCAGGCCTTCTGGGTTCCCTGGATGCTAGCCCGGCTATGAACAAGGTAGGATCTGGAAGGGCATTTTGGATACCGACGTGTGCACAGAAGGCCGAGGTGGAGAAGGAGGGTGATGTGAACTGGAGAGGCTGAGCAATAGCCTTTGCTGGGCCTTGCCGAGCTCCTGCTTTGCCAAGCCTCGTATTTGGACTCTGGGATAAAAGAATGGTTTGTGAGTCTGCACTTTATGCTTCAGAAACAGAGAGGCTACAGCTGCCAGTCCTCCGGCATTTGGCTTTACAAGCTGAAGCAACAACCAGTCTGCAGAGCAAAATCAGGCAGCTTGTTACATGAGTCCGTGACCTTGTCTATGGGAGGAAACTGCCTGTCACAGCTATTGCAGAACAAGCTATTCTGCAATAGCTCCCAACTGGAGACTATTCTGGAGCAACAGTGATTTTTATTCCAGAGTAATCAGCCTGCTTCCAAAACACTTACTTCCAAAGCAGAGTAATAATTCTGGAATAAAAGTGACATTTATTCCAGAATACAGTGTCCACACAGGGAGCCACTGCAGAATAGCTATTGCAGAATAGTTTATTTTGCAATAGGTATGCAAGTCAATTTCCCAATGTAGACAAGGCCAGAGAGAGGGTTTGATGCTCTGTTCACCATGGCAGCCTGCTCTCCACACGTAAGCGTTTCCTGTGGAAGGGTTCACGCAGGGAGAAAACAGAAGATAAAGATGTGCTCTTCTCCAACAAGCGCTAGGGATGATTCCCCTCTTGGTAATCCCCACCATCCAGTACTGCAGAGGGATGCTGGCCAGTGAAAACAAGCCGTGGGTGGTGCTTTCCTGCAGGGAGTTGGCTGCCTGTTTGCTTCTCACATGTAGCTAAACACATTCATACATCAAGAAGGCAACACCAAGGGGTCTCCAGGGAGCCCACAGGATATTTTCTTTTAAAGATGTCACTTGCTTGGTGCGGCAAACACATATACTTATCCACTGCCCTAATCCCCGACATCACGAGCCCACACTCTGCCTCAGCCTTGGACTGTAGGGAGCATGAACCAATTGTCCCTGCAGTCAGAGGGGAATGGAGTCTCTCCAGCCCTTGGGCTCTCTGCCAAGGTGTCCCACGCGGGGCTGGGTGGAGGTGGTGATTTCTCTGACAGAGTTGCCTGTCTGACCAGAAATGGGGCTGAGACACATCCTGACTCACCTCACCCAGAGGCCCCCGCACAGAGATTTCAGGGTGATGGTCATTTATCCCTGGGCTGGACGAGGCAAGGAGAAGCTGGTGGGCACCTCTAGGGGGAGACAGAAGCTCCACAGGACACCCAGCTCTGAACGGAGCAAAGACCACGGGGCGTCTATTCACAGGGCCCTCAGCAGCATCTCACATGAGTCGTTCCAGGCAGCGAGATTCCTTGGGGCATGGAAAGCTTCCCTCAGTAGCTTCTTCTCCCACTGCCCCGAGACCTCTGGGGACTCAGCTCTCCTCTCAGTGCCCCTCCTTCACCCAGCCAGAAGGGGCACTAGATAGCAACATGGGGCACTTCCTCTCCCCACAGGCTGAGAGCAGCCACTGACCCCATACCAGCCCAGCAGCAAAGTGCTGAGCAGACACCGGGCTCCCGAACTGGCCAGGCGTAGCGTGGGATTTCCTGTCCTCTTGCAGGGGTTAGTGATCTGGATTTCGTCCAAGAGGCAGCTGCAGCTGGCTCAGACCCGCCTGGCTTACACAGGCATTTGCAGTGCTCAGGCCAGATACTGCTCAGTTTGAATTATTTTGTTTTGGGTACTAACTCAGCAAATAAACTAAATACACCCAAAGCCTCAGAGCCCTGAGTCGGGGACAGGAGGCAAGCTGGGGCACAAGCTCTCAGAGGTGCACAGATGGGGGCTGTGGAGCATGTGTCCCCAAGGGCTGCTGCATCTCTTGAACTGTTGTAGTGAAAGAAGACAGCTGGCTGTAACTGCTTGGTGGGTGTGCAGTACACACTGCTTTGCATGGTCTCTGCTGAAAAAAAAACAACACCCGTCTGAAGGCGTGCGTGTGTGTGTGAGAGAATCAGTCTAAGGGTTTGAGGGAGTGAAGTATTGTCTTTAAACTGATGTTCATTTTGCAATTTCTCTGGCAGATTGAGTCAATGTGTAAATACTACCCAGTGTAGACACACTCCAGCTCCCTACCTGTCAGCCCTTTCTTTCCTGTCATCCCCTGGAGATTCAGAACATATGTCTATAGCTCTGTACGTACAGGGCCAGACTCTTCCTGGCCGTTTACTTCATGTGATCATTAACGCCGTTGCAAAGCAGATGTAAAATACTCCCAAATCGGGATGGTAGCGTTCTGCACTGGTGTAAATGACTGCTCAAAACACAATGTAATGGAGAATCGGGCCAACAGACTCCCAAGCATTCGTTTTGGCTGGCATGGAAAGAAAGAATTAAGAGGGGCTAGAAGTAGAGGATAACCAGCTGCTCTTAGCGAATGTTTGCACAGTGCCCTGGAGAGGGAAAGGGTGAGATCTGAGCATTATCATTGTGTTAGGATCAGTATTTGCCCTAAAAAGCAGCCTGCACTGCTGCAAGCCAGCCCACCGTTCACTTTTCATCCTCCATGTGGCACTAGGAGCTGGGAATGATCAACAGCCCTGGCCTGACTGACAGCAAACTTCAGGACAAGGAAGCTGCAGTCATGACTTTCTCCACTTGGATTCTTATCTAAGTGTTGGTACTTTCGTGTCTACATGTTTCTTCCTGCCCACACAAATAGCTGCAATTATAAATATACAGAACTGGAGAACTGAAACCACCAGGCAGTTTTCTTCCCGCCCCCTTCTCTGCCCCCCTCAACTGGAGCTTCGAAGCTGAGCTGAGTTGTACACAAATTCACCTACTTGTGTTTTCTGGTTGAAAGCCCATCAGGGAGCATCCTGTTTAGATGAATGTGACTCACACCAACTGTCAAGAGCTAAATTTACTGCCTAATAAAGTAAACTCAAAGCAAAACTACGGTCCCCATTATGAGCTCATGTGCAGTACAGATTATCTAACCATTTTAAAGTCCTCTTAAACTAGGAATGATTTTACCTGGATGTAGAATGTCCTGGAGCTTGTTATGATTTCAAAGAGATTGTCCCGCATGAGAAGGTCACTTGAAACAAAAGAAAGAGAGAGGTTACCCTGAATTCAACATATGCAGGATAGACTATTTCTTCTTTATGCTCATATCTAGAGAACATTAACAACAAAATATTCAATGCAGACCTTGGATGTCTTCAGTATTGATCTTAAGAAACACAGACCTCAATTCTATATAACTTATCATACACCTTGTTTACACGCGCACACTGAAGTCTGCAAGCCAAATGATTCTCAGCCCCACTTTATACAAAAGTTCCATTTATAAATAGTTGATAAAGGATAATAAATGATTAATAGGGGTTTTAAATAAATGGCTAATCAATTGTTAAAGTCTAGTAGGTCAAGGGACTGCTTATAACCATAGATTATAACCATCTACAATACCTTCTATTGATGTGCATATAACACATACTATTCCTGTCTATTTGATTTATTAACTGTTTATTTGGATCCTAAGTGTGACCTAATTCTCTGTCAGTCACATGGTTTTTAGAATCCTATAATATCAGGGTTGGAAGGGACCTCAGGAAGTCATCTAGTCCAAACCCCTGCTCAAAGCAGGACCAGACTCAGAGAGACTGCCGAGACTCATCAAGCCCTCGGATCGGTACCCCTTCCTGCTTCTCCACGTGGGCACCAATGATACTGCCAAGAATGACCTTGAGCAGATCACTGCAGACTACATGGCTCTGGGAAGAAGGATAAAGGAGTTTGAGGCGCAAGTGGTGTTCTTGTCCATCCTCCCCGTGGAAGGAAAAGGCCCGGGTAGAGACCATCGAATCTTGGAAGTCAACGAATGGCTACGCAGGTGGTGTCAGAGAGAAGGCTTTGGATTCTTTGACCATGGGATGGTGTTCCATGAAGGAGGAGTGCTAGGCAGAGACGAGCTCCACCTAACGAAGAGAGGGAAGAGCATCTTCGGAAACAGGCTGGCTAACCTAGTGAGGAGGGCTTTAAACTAGGTTCATCGGGGGAAGGAGACCAAAGCCCTGAGGTAAGTGGGGATGTGGGATACCGGGAGGAAGCACGAGCAGGAGAGCGCGAAAGGGGAGGGCACCTGCCTCATTCTAAGAAAGCAGGACAAACAGCAAGTTACCTCAAGTGCCGATACACAAATGCACAAAGCCTGGGAAACAAGCAGGGAGAACTGGAAGTCCTGGCACAGTCAAGGAATTATGATGTGATTGGAATAACAGATACTTGGTGGGATAACTCACATGACTGGAGTACTGTCATGGATGGATATAAACTGTTTAGGAAGGACAGGCAGGGCAGAAAAGGTGGGGGAGTTGCATTGTATGTAAGGGAGCAGTATGACTGCTCAGAGCTCCGGTATGAAACTGCAGAAAAACCTGAGTGTCTCTGGGTTACGTTTAGAAGTGTGAGCAACAAGGGTGATGTCGTAGTGGGAGTCTGCTATAGACCACCGGACCAGGGGGATGAGGAGGACGAGGCTTTCTTCCGGCAACTCACAGAAGTTACTAGATCGCAGGCCCTGGTTCTCATGGGAGACTTCAATCACCCTGATATCTGCCGTGAGAGCAATACAGCGGTGCACAGACAATCCAGGAAGTTTTTGGAAAGTGTAGGGGACAATTTCCTGGTGCAAGTGCTGGAGGAACCAACTAGGGGCAGAGCTCTTCTTGACCTACTGCTCACAAATGGGGAAGAATTAGTAAGGGAAGCAAAAGTGGATGGGAACCTGGGAAGCAGTAACCATGAGATGGTCGAGTTCAGGATCCTGACACAAGGAAGAAAGGAGAGCAGCAGAATACGAACCCTGGACTTCAGAAAAGCAGACTTTGACTCCCTCAGGGAACGGATGGGCAAGATCCCCTGGGAGAATAACATGAGGGGGAAAGGAGTCCAGGAGAGCTGGCTGTATTTTAAAGAATCCTTATTGAGGTTACAGGGACAAACCATCCCGATGTGTAGAAAGAATAGTAAATATGGCAGGCGACCAGCTTGGCTTAATAGTGAAATCCTTGCTGATCTTGAACACAAAAAAGAAGCTTACGAGAAGTTGGAGATTGGACAAATGACCAGGGAAGAGTATAAAAATATTGCTCAGGCATGCAGGAGTGAAATCAGGAAGGCCAAATCACACCTGGAGTTGCAGCTAGCAAGGGATGTTAAGAGTAACAAGAAGGGTTTCTTCAGGTATGTTAGCAACAGGAAGAAAGTCAAGGAAAGTGTGGGCCCCCTTATTGAATGAGGGAGGCAACCTAGTGACAGAGGATGTGGAAAAAGCTAATGTACTCAATGCTTTTTTTGCCTCGGTCTTCATGAACAAGGTCAACTCCCAGACTGCTGCACTGGGCAGCACAGCATGGGGAGGAGGTGACCAGCCCTCTGTGGAGAAAGAAGTGGTTCGCGACTATTTAGAAAAGCTGGACGAGCACAAGTCCGTGGGGCCGGATGCGCTGCATCCGAGAGTGCCAAAGGAGCTGGCGGATGTGATTGCAGAGCCATTGGCCATTATCTTTGAAAACTCGTGGCGAACCGGGGAAGTCCCGGATGACTGGAAAAAGGCTAATGTAGTGCCCATCTTTAAAAAAGGGAAGGAGGAGGATCCTGGGAACTACAGGCCAGTCAGCCTCACCTCAGTCCCTGGAAAAATCATGGAGCAGGTCCTCAAGGAATCCATTTGAAGCACTTAGAGGAGAGGAAAGTGATCAGGAACAGTCAGCATGGATTCACCAAGGGCAAGTCATGCCTGACTAATCTAATTGCCTTCTATGACGAGATAACTGGCTCTGTGGAGGAGGGGAAAGCAGTGGATATGTTGTTCCTTAACTTTAGCAAAGCTTTTGACACGGTCTCCTACAGTATTCTTGCCAGCAAGTTAAAGAAGTATGGGCTGGATGGACGATAAGGTGGATAGAAAGCTGGCTAGATAGTCAGGCTCAACGGGTAGTGATCAATGGCTCCATGTCTAGTTGACAGCTGGTATCAACCGGAGTGCCCCAAGGGTCAGTCCTCGGGCCGGTTTTGTTCAATATCTTCCTTAATGATCTGGAGGATGGTGTGGATTGCACCCTCAGCAAGCTTGCAGATGACACTAAACTGGGAGGAGAGGTAGATACGCTGGAGGGTAGGGATAGGATACAGAGGGACCTAGACAAATTTGAGGATTGGGCCAAAAGAAATCTGATGAAGTTCAACAAGGACAAGTGCAGAGTCCTGCACTTAGGACGGAAGAATCCAATGCATCGCTACAGACTAGGGACCGAGTGGCTCGGCAGCAGTTCTGCAGAAAAGGACCTAGGGGTTACAGTGGACGAGAAACTGGATATGAGTCAACAGTGTGCCCTTGTTGCCAAGAAGGCCAATGGCATTTTGGATGTATAAGTAGGGGCATTGCCAGCAGATCGAGGGACGTGATCGTTCCCCTCTATTCAACATTGGTGAGGCCTCATCTGGAGTACTGTGTCCAGTTTTGGTCCCCACACTACAAAAAGGATGTGGAAAAACTGGAAAGAGTCCAGCAGAGGGCAACAAAAATAATTAGGGGATTGGAACACAATACTTATGAGGAGAGGCTGAGGGAACTGGGATTGTTTAGTCTGCGGAAGAGAAGAATGAGGGGGGATTTGATAGCTGCTTTCAACTACCTGAAAGGGGGTTCCAAAGAGGATGGATCTAGACTGTTCTCAGTGGTAGCAGATGACAGAACAAGGAGTAATGGTCTCAAGTTGCAGTGGGGGAGGTTTAGATTGGATATTAGGAAAAACCTTTTCACTAGGAGGGTGGTGAAACACTGGAATGCGTTACCTAGGGAGGTGGTGGAATCTCCTTCCTTAGAAGTTTTTAAGGTCAGGCTTGACAAAGCCCTGGCTGGGACGATTTAGTTGGGGATTGGCCCTGCTTTGAGCAGGGGGTTGGAGTAGATGACCTCCTGAGGTCCCTTCCAACCCTGATATTCTATGATTCCATGATTCAATCCCCAATTTTTGCCCCAGATCCCTAAATGGCCCCCTCAAAGATTGAACTCACAATCCTGGGTTTAGCAGGCCAATGCTCAAACCACTGAGCTATCCCTCCCCTTGCATAGGGTAAGAAGAGTTTGTTTCATGAAAGCTCTAGCTCATGTTTTCATTTGCACACCTTTAAATCATCCTGGACATGTTCAGCATCTCCACTGCTAATTTGAGTAATAAACCAGCACTCATAAAGGCCTGGTCTTATTCATGGCTCTTCTAAGGCTCAGTGCAAGCACAAATATCACGAGCAATAAATTACACTAAAGATGTTGTGCAGCCTGCCTTTGAAATCACGGTCAATCAATTCTTCATATCTGATCATGTGGGTCCATTCAAAACCAGTGCATCAAAAACCAGTAAACCAGGAACATGACTCAGAAGCAGTGCCCATCACAGGACCCTGGGGGGTAGGGATGCACATGGGAGGGAGAAGAGAATGAAGAAAACCAAACCATGTTTGATAGGTCTGGGTGGAGAGGACACTCACCCGCTGAGTACTTTGTCTGCATGTAACCCTAGCTGCCCGTGTCCCTGCCAGCAGCATAGAGGTCTTCGCGTCCTGAGTACTTTCTTCAGTTCATTAAGGACACAGATACTGTTATTCAGTGTCCAGTGCACTGTGCTTCCCTCTCACAAATTTAACTGTGGCAACATCTATATTGGTGAAGATCTAGGATTGTGCCAGCATAAGGTGGGGCAAAAATTAGCCCATGGCTAATGCAAGTAAAACCCAAGCTTGGAGTTCATGCACAAACAGTAACTGCATGTCTGCAGAGCCCCTGTTCATTGCCACAACAGACCATGATCCTCCGTTTAGGAGAGTTGCTGTCCTCAGGTATACATCGAATTCAGTGCTCCAAGGGCAGAGGGGGAGGGGATGAATTCTGGCCAACCGCTGACTCCCCTTGGATGTATATGGGAAGCTGCAGCCCCACTCTAGATCCCCAGAGGGGCACCCACCTCTCTTCCCTGAACATAACAGCAGTTTATTCCATCGTTGCAGCCTGAGTGGGTGGGTGGCTGCTCCACTCGGGAGAGGGTCTCTCTGCACTCTGCTTAACAAGGGTTAACTCAGAGCAGCTCCACCCTCTGTATGTGCAGGGCGTAAATTCACTCCTCCTGAAAAGGGGAGTCCCAGCATCCAGGTAAATAGATGGGATTCCTCAGATGAAAGGTGCTAATTGAAATGGGATGTCTAGATACAGCGTAACTTGGTTGGGCCAGCAATCCGGGCCAGCACAGGGAGCTGGGTCCCAACTCCAGATGGATAACAGGAAAACGAAATAAAGGGAAAATTAGAGGTGCTACATACTGGAAAGATGCCCTCTATGAAAGGCCTGGGTCCCAGCCACAAACCAACCCTGAAAAACTGCCTGAGATCAGCAGCAGACCTGTGACCCAGGGGAGGCTGTGAAACGTGACCACTGGGGAAATCCAGTGAGACACAGCGTAACTCAAACACGGAAGGACGAATCTGAGTGGTACCAGAGAACACAAGATCTGAGGAGAAGCAGGTCGTGACAACCCTGGCTGGGAACTCAGCTGTGGCAACTTGAACGACAATCTGCCCTTTGCATCCCTTATGTGCCCATCTTCGTCACATCCCTTTTTCAGGTGGGGAACAGAGCCACGCAGAGGTGGGGTGATTTCCTGACGCTCACACAGAGAGTCAGTGGCAGGGTTGGGATTAGGACCTACCAGTCCTCACTCATACCCTAGTACGGTCCTCCCAAAGGAGCCCTATGGGCCACTGTGGATTGGTCAGACTCTCTCGTTGTTCCTTAACTTTCCGTTAGTCTCCCCTTCTTTCCTTGCCTACTTGCTCCACTCAGAGGGTCCCCATGTCACCCTCCTCATCCTCCTGACACTTGGTCTCTTCCTAGCTTCAGAGAGCAGACAGACATGCTTGGGCAGTGCCAACCATCTCATGGGCAGAGGCAGATGGGACCGCAGGATGCCTGGCCATGAGGAAGCGTTTTCCATTATTTCTGACTGTTAAAACGCTCTTAGAATGCCAGGGGCTCTCCAGGAGCAAGAGAAGAAATGGGTCCCGAGAGCAGCACAGCAGCAAGAAACAAGGCTGCAAAACCAGGTGCAACAGCCCAGGATAACACAGGACCCCTTTTCCAGGGGTAGGGCTGCCACTGTGATCTGTTCCAGCCCTGGCTGGAGAGAGAGAGAGAGGCCTGTGATCCAGCCTCTCACACCCCTTGAGCACTCCGTGGTCAGAGTGATTTAGGTCTCTGAAGTGCCTTGTGTTCAGAAAGATCCCAACACGCTTTACCAAGCATGGTATGTAAACCGGCATTGCTTCAGCTACTCAGCCATATGGTGCAGCATCTGAGCACACACCCTCATAGCCACCTTATGCAGCAGGGCACTGCTACCACCTCCACGGACAGATGGGAAGCTGAGGCACAGAGGAATTACGTGACTTGCCCAAAATCACTCAGGAAGTCTGTGGCAGAGCCAGAAAATGGACCCTGGTGTCCCGAGTGCCCCTGCAAGGCTCTAGCCACTAGCCCATCCACAGCTCAGAGCTGGGTCGACAGACTCCAGCTTGCACTCCAAACAGCCGTGTAGACATCACGACTCGGGCTGGAGCTCGGGCTTTGGAGGCCCCCTCCTCCCTCGCCGGCTCAACTTCAGAGCCCGAGCTCCAGCCTGAGCCACGATGTCTACACAGCTACCGTCAGGGCCGTGGCTGTTGGCCCACCCGGGCTAGCACCTCTGAGGATAAAGTCCTTTCGTGACCACTCCACTTCACTTCTACAGGGACTGAATCCAACAGAAGCGCAGGAAAAGACATTACCCGGATTTGACTAGACATTCGTGGGTCTTGAGGACGTCCTTGAGAAGGATCGAACGCAAGGGCTCCTTGTCCTGGGGAGACACGACAGAACAGAGTCAGTGGGTCTGCATCAACTTCGCGGGCTGCTCTGGTGGCACTGGGAGCCCACTCTAGTGCCCAGGAATTTTGTGAGACCTAAGAGCAACCTTCAGCAAAGCCTCCATGGACAGAATCCTGGCCCTTGGCTGGAATAAAGAGAGAGGTCACTGGGCGGGAGCATCCCCAAATGGCGGCTCCATGCAGCATCTCTCACCCCCCCAAGCCCTAACCCAGGCGCAGCACCCAGTGAACAGCAACTGAGAAGGGGAAAGCAGAGGAGCACGGCAAGGTTTTGCGTTTGTTTCTTTTAATCTGTTGGATCGCATTGAATTCGCCCCCTTTCCATTCTTAGCTCAGCACCCTCCTCTCCTGTCTGTCTCCAGTCTTTGAGAGTCCAATGGGCATCTCACAGGTGTGAGGGGGCACGGCAGTGTACACGCAGTGGAGCGTGCAGCCTGGGTCACTAAGTCCAGGCCTCTGCTGTCGCAAGCAACCCCCGTCATATAATCCCATCCGTAAACTTATCAAGCTGGATTTTAGAGCTAGACTGATTACTTGCCCTCAGTGCTATTGGGAGGCTGTTCCAGAACCTCATTCCTCTCAGTGATGGTTAGAAGCCTTCTCCTAGTTTGTCCTCTAAATGCATCCATGGCCAGTTACAGCTGCGATGGTGCATGCCAGCATGTGTGCGTAGGTGCGTGTCGGGGGTATGCTGGGAAGGGGAGCGTGCACGCGTCCGCGTGGGGTTTCTTGCTTGCAGAAACAGGACTCAGAACTCCATGGTGGTTCAGGCAGAGGAACAGCCCCCGCGACAGCCAGCTTTGAGCCGTGTTTGTGTCAAAGGCACAGCTCCCCTGCCTGTCCCTAAGACCAGCCGCTGCACCTGCTCCCTGCACTCCTGCAGCATGTGGGCTCTGTTCTCAGCTTTAGCCCCAATTGTGGGGTTTTCTCCCACAATATTTTCTGTGCTCAAAATGCTGATTGATTTTAACAAAAGCCAAAAATGCAGCCTTGCAAATGCCAAGCCCAATACACCCATGAGCGGAGGGACAAGTGGACAAGGTCACCCAGAGAACTGTGAGCAAGAGGGGGCTGCTTACCTGCTCGCACTTGAAATAACTGATGGTAAAGTCGTCAAGAGCAAAGTACCGGCGTTTCCAGCTCTTCCTCTGAAAAACAGAGAGAACAGTCCCTAATGCTTCCAGGGTTGAGTTCCAGCCTCCCCAGCTCCTCGGAAAAAACAAATGGGTCCTGAGAACCTAGGGGTCGCATCTTCCAAAGAATGAGCACTGGTGAAAGCTGTAAGCCTGCTCCACCAGGAAACAGGAAGCTCAGAGTTAGCAGCTCATAACTCAGGGTACTAAATCACCTATCACTGCTCGGACACCAAGACCTGTGCTGCATCAACACGGCCCCACTCCCTCCTCCTATGCAGAGGAACTGTTCACGCCAATGTGACACCTTGGACCCCGAGAAGTGAAAAGCTCCCCTTCTGGGCACAGTGTTGTGGGGGAAGCAAGAGGAGGCTCAGAAGCAATAAAATCAAGCCCCCTTCAAGCCCCCGCACTGCTCTGCTCCATGAAGGACTCAGTGCGACTCTGCAGCACGCACTCACCACATTCCCCTGCTTCACACAGTAGCCACTTTTGAGGACGGGTGGCCCTGTGGATGGCTTGGAGGCAGAGGTGGGTATGTAGCTCTGGGAGCGTCTCAGAAGAGGGTGAGTGGCCAAGTCGCCTCCGTCTGCTCCTTCCCCTCCATTCTGAAACAAAAAAGAAAACAATACTTGGAAACCTGCAAACAGCCTGTGGACGGGAGAGCGGACGGCACATGCATGCTTGAGCCTGGCAGAACAGCCGAATGAATTTAGCAGCCCACCCTCTAATCTACGCCTGCCCCCTGCCACAAACAAATGACATTTTATTAGCCCAGCTGAACACCACACCTGCCCCATGCAAACACGAGAGCAACGTTTGCAAGTGCCCTGATTTTCAGAAGTGAAAAAAAAAAAAAAAATGCACAAGCTCCGCAAACCTTGGCCTCGGGGGTTGGGATCCTGGTCGGCACGCCGCAGCTTGGGAAATCCAACACAGAGCAACACCAAGGAGCTGGCCTTAGTCCCACAGAACATGCGGAGTCAAACGCTAGCAGGACGCACTCATATGACGCGCACTTTACATGGACGAAGAACGGGCTAATTGACAGATCTCAAAATGTAGTTGTTGTCAATTAATCAGCTTCAAATGGGGGGGTTTCTAGTGGGGCTCTGCAGAGGCCAGTGCTAGGCCCAAAGCTATTTCACCTTTTTACTAGTGATCTGCAAGTGAAAATAAAGTCACTGCTAATAAAATCTGTGGATGACGCAAAGATTGAACATAAGAACGGCCACACTGGGTCAGACAAAAGGTCCATCTAGACCAGCATCCTGTCTTCCGACAGTGGCCAGTGCCAGGTGCCCCAGAGGGAAGGAACAGAACAGGGAATCATCAAGTGATACATCCCCTGTCGCCCATTCCCAGCTTCTGGCTGTCAGGGGCTCGGGACACCCAGAGCAGTAGGTTGTATCCCTGACCATCTTGGCTAATAGCCTTTGATGGACCTATCCTCCATGAACTTGAATCCAGTTCTTTTTTGAACCCCACTATAATTTTGGCAACATCCCCTGGCAATGAGTTCCACAGGTTAACTGTGTGTTTTGTGGAAAAAGTACTGCCTTTTGTTTGTTTTAAAGCTGATGTCTATTAATTTAATTGGGTGACCCCTTATTCTTGTGTTATGTGGAGAGGTAAATAACACTTCCTTATTCACTTTCTCCACCTCATTCATGATTTTATAAACCTCTATCATATCCCCCCTTAATCAACTCTTTTCTAAACTGAACAGTCCCAGTCTTTTAAATCTCTCCTCATATGGAAGCTGTTTTGTTGCTCTTCTCTATACCTTTTCCAATTCTAATATATCTTTTTTGAAACAGGGCGACCAGAACTGCACACAGTATTCCAGGTGTGGGCACACCATGGATTTATATAGTGGCATTACGGTATTTTCTTTCCTAATGGTTCCTAACATTCTGTTTGCTTTTTTGACGGCCGCTGCACATTGAGTGGATGTTTTCAGAGAACTATCCACACGGCCTCCCAGATCCCTTTCTTGAGTGCTAAGGAGTAGGAGCAGGGAGCTGATTTGACCTCTGCATACGGTGTTGGTGAGACCAGTACTGCAGAGAAAGGCAAAACAAGAACCACTGGCCAGAAGCTGAAGCCAGACAAATTCAAATGATAAATTAGGCACACATTGTTAAGTGAGGGACAAACCACTGAGAGAAGTGGTGCATTCTCCACCTCTCAATGTCTTGCAGAAGGGCATCCAGGCCATGTTTGCTTCAGCCAAACACGTTATCGGGCTCAGTACAGGGATAACCGGATGAAATTCTATGGCCTGTGTTATACTGGAGAGTCAGCCTAGATGATCTAATGATCCCTCCTGGCCTTAAACTCTGAATCCGTACAATGCAGCCAGCACCACGCGCGAGTGCACGGGGTTTATTTGCACCCAGCAATGTCACTCAGAGCAGGGGCTGCCCAGGGGCGGCTGCTGCAGTCTGCATGTTGCAAGATCATTGGCGCAATATGGGACACCCATCCTGCTGCACCAAACCAAATCTCTCTCACGCAGAGCTCAGTCTCAGCAGGCCAGGGTCTCTGTCAGGCCTCATCTCATCTCTGGGTGCACTGCAGGCATCTGACACAAATGTGCAGCACCCTGGGCCTCTCCCAGCCCCCGGAAAGTAACACTGGGGATTCAGAGGACTGGAATCTGCTGTCCTGCACTGGATGTCGTTCCTTTCCTAAAGGGCCCTCCTCAGCCCCTGGCACACAGGGACAGCAGGCCCATTCCAACCCCTGCTCCTTAGCTGGACCAGCCACCAGCCCAGCACCGGGTGAGCTGGGATCACAGAGCTGCACATACAGACGCTCATCCTGCAGCTGTCCCTGCCATTTGCCAGCAGGTGCCCTGCTCACCAGCCCAGCAGGAATCTCGCTGCCAGACAGCTCACAGGAGCAGACGCAAAGGGGCCCGGAGCAGAGAAAGCACATCCTGTTGCAGCTGCCAGGCTGGGACTCTGACACGGCCGCGGGCCCCACTCAGAAGAGACTGATGGATGGGGCACGTCAGCCCAGCCCCCGTGGGCTCTTGCTGGTCCTTAGAGCAGCGTCAGGACACTCGGTCAAACCGGCCGTAGCGTTCCTGTGCTCTGTGGTTTACCTGCAGCACATCCCACACAACAGCAACACCAGGGCAATCGCGCAGCTGGCGGGAAGGGAGCCCAGCTCCAGCAGCCTCCAGCCGCCCCCCCTTCGCCGTGCTTGTCCGGGGCTGGGAGGGGCCCGGATAGGTACTTCCTGGGAGACTCAAAGGGCGGAAAAACGTGGTAGAAGTCAGCAGACAGACACGTTTTCCACTGCCTGCTGCCGTGCCATTGTTACTCTGCCCTCATTATATAACCCCGAAGAAACAGGCACTCAGCCCAGCCCCTCCTGCCTCCTTCGTAAGGCAGAACTGAGGAGGAAGGGGGCGGGGGGGGGATAAAATGTAACCACTGTGCACGTCTCTCTCTCTCTCTCTCCCCCCATCCCCCTCCTTTCAGCACAAGTTTGAGGTTAGTGAATTGTTAGAGCAGCGGCCCCTGGCTCTTACCAGTTGGCTTGCAGGGCTCGCTCGGGTTGTCCTTATATGGCATTCACGCTGGTGAAGAGGACCGGTGCGGTTAACCAGACAACATGCCCCGATCTCTCACCCTCCGCTGTGCACTTTCGCCCACCCTCCATGACAAGACTTTGATTTTTCCAGGACCAAACTAAATCAATCAAAATAAAGCAACTTGTGCCCAAGCCAGCCCTTCACTCCCTTCCGTGCACCCCTGAGCCAGGCAGGGTGCTCTGCAGCCCACCTGGCTGGTAGGAGGGAGAGACGCTTTCACAGCAGGAGAGCAGCAGCCCCACACCCCCATCACTTGGATTCATACAGGTCCTTTGCCATGCATTGCAGCACTTGGTGTTTGGAGAAGGGCGGAGCAGAGGGAAGGATGGAAGGTGCATCGTTAGGGACATTAAACTAGGGAAGACATTTCCCCAGAGGTTAGGCTGTAAGGAGCAATCCTTCACTGACTCCCAGAGAAATGGGCCAGACAGGAGCAAGGCCTTTCCATCCCTCCTATCAATGAGGCCAGGACTCTCCTTTCCTCCTGCCTGGAGTCACAAAGCTGCACCTGAGGCAAGGCAGAGAGGCCATGAAGGAAGGGGAGGAAAGGCCATTTCACCAAGGGCAGCATCAGAAATGCAGAAAACAACTCAGCAGCTGGCATCCTTCCCTCAACCCCCTCTGCAGAGCGAAAGCGACTCTAAAGCAAACAGAGGCTGTGGATGGAGATTTAGGCTTTTGCTGGAGAACAAACTAACCCAAAAGCAAACCCCCACCCCCTCACATGGGAGAGCAGACCAGCATTCACTTGCCACATAAATCACATGGCAGGGTGCCGACTTAACTGCTGCTGATTTGTTTTTAACAGACAGTAAGCTTGACTCCCAAGTGACAAGAGGCCAGAATACACAGCACCATTGTGTGCCCAGCTGCTGCTGCCCTGCTCACGCAGGCTACAGGCTCCCTCTGCACTCCACAAAGCAGCTTAGTGTCAGTGCCAGGCGGAGGGGAACCACTGGCTCGCAGCCACCGGGCCGCAACGAGGAGCCAGGGGAAACACTGAGCCAGAAAGAAGGCTCGGTTCTTTCTCCCCGGGTATCAGGGCTTCACCAGGATGCCCCCGGCTGGGGCCCGCCAGAGCCTTGCAGGGAAACCTGTAGACACAGACAAGAGCTTCCCAGAACAGGGATGAAAAATGAGACTTGGGCAAGGAAGCAAAGCAGAGTCAGAAACCCAGGCAGGGCGTCAAAGCTGCTGCAGCTGGGCCTGGAAACCTCCCCTTGGATTCTCAGCCTGGACTGCAGCCAAACGGAAAGCGTGCGGGGAGGGCCTGGGCTTTCTGCCAAGGACTCGGTGCTCAGGGAGCACAGTGCAAGGTGCATACACCAAGAGCCTCAGCTGCCAGCCCTGGGGATTCCTCTGCACCAGCCTCCAAATATTCCCAGTGAGTGGGAGTCAAAGGGAGCTGCCACCCTCAGGGAGCCAAATGCCACTGTGTCTAGGGACAGGCTTGTTCTCAGTGTAAGCCCGGAGCAGCCATTCGCACGAAGCTAGCATGGGGGTTTTGCACGGAAAGTGGTACCAGACTTGCTGAGCGAGTGTGGGGCCAGTTGCCTTTCTGTGCCTGTTTTCTGGTGTCCTGGTGGAGGCACAGGAGACACCAAGGCTAAAACCCCACGTTCCAGAGGAAATCTCTCATAAACTTCTGCAGTTCTCTAGCGCCTTCCATCCCCAGGTCTCAAAGCACTTAAAAAATGGAAATGCCTCCCAGTGCAAGCCCCTGCAGTGAGGATCAGCACCCAGGATGCTCAAGAGCATTATCCCCATTTTCACAGGCTGGGAAACTGGCAAAGACCTAGGAAGGGACACAACAAAGGTCACAGCACCTAAGATCAATGGTGCAGCCAGGAACATCACCCATGTCTTTTGACTACCGGGCTGGTGTTCTAACCAGCAGGCCAGCGCTCATCCCAACAGCAGTCCTAAAGACACGGTAGGAAGGATGAAAGTGGTCCTTTGAATTGAACACTCTCCTACCTTCCTAGAAACGGTGAAATACATCTCCCTATAGAGCTGCTCCACTCAGGTAGCGAGCCCCACACACAACCAGGGACTGGGATAGGAGGAACTGCTTCAAAATGGGAGGTGAAAACACCCCCCTGGAAACATATAGATTCATAGAATTTAAGGCTAGACGGGACCATTAGATCATCTGGTCTGACCTCCTGCAGAACACAGGCCAGAGACCCTCATCCAGCGACTCCTAATTTGAGTCAGAGCATCTCTCTTAGAGAACCAAGCAACTTGGACTTAAAGTGATGAAGAATCCACCACATCCTGAGGTGAGCTGCCCCAACGGTCATTTACCCTCCCTGTTAAAAATTTGCACCTTATTTCTGGTCTGAATTTGTCTAGTTTCAATTTCCAGCCACTGGATCTTTTCCTGTCTTTGTCTTCTAAATTAAAGATCCCTTTGCTATCACAAATCTTCTCTCCTGGGAGGTACTAGACCACAATCAAGTCACATCTTAACCTTCTCTCTGATAAGCTGAATAGTTCGAGTGCCTATTCACACAGGATGGAGCTGTACAATTGTCTTGCTCTGCTACTTCCTGCCAGCAGTCTCCCTTAGACATGTACATGGATAATGAGAACATACATGTTGAGTTAGGATTAAAAAACCCAAAACCCTGCTTTATCCCATAATTGCCCGTCAGGTCTCTTGCACCTTCTTCTGAAGGAGCTAGTGTTCGCACTATCAGAGACAGGCTACTGATCTAGATGGATCATGGGTCTGATCCAACCCTGGCAATTCCTATGCTCCAATCCTGCACATGTGCACATCTGTATGGCCAGGGAAGAGTTAAAAACGCCTGCCAAGGAGAACACCGCAGTGACTTAAATCTCCATTCTATTTTTAGGCATGTGACTGATAAGAGCTGAATTAGGCTGTCAAAACACCAGAAGGTGGAAGTTGCCGATGGTCATGCACATGCCCCTCCCATGCGTCAAGGGAAAGGGAGAGTGGGACTACTGGAGAAAGGGGGATCTCCGCACCTTCTGTGGCATCTCCCAGCTGCTGTTCTGGAGAGCAGCAGCTGGAGCTAGTGGAACCAGGCAGGTGATCTGGCTCTGATCTTCTGTGGGCCTTGAAGAAGTGGGGAATTGAGACAGAGAGCAGGCCACAGCTAAGGGGCATGAAAGCTGAGGCAGTTTGCAGCTTTGCATGTGGCTCCATAAACCCCTTTTGGCTCACTGCACTTTGGAGCCAGAGCGAAGTGCTGTGTGCAGCTATTTATAAACCCTGAGTGGGAAGGTTTCACAGGCACAGACCTGGTTTCCTGAACTGAAAGTGCAAATCAATTCCACCAATAGGGGAAGTGTGTAATCAGACTGTGTTACTTCAGAGAAGGTCAGACAGCCTCCTGCCTCTTGCCCAGACAGCTCAGAGCCTAAATGTCAGACTCAGAGATATGTTCCAGACAGATTCCCCAGGCAACAGATGTCACATAATGGGTTAAACCGAAGCAACGACACTCAAGATCCTCCCTCAACAACCACACTGAAGTTCAGTCACTGGAAATGCCTCCAATTTAGCACCAAGTTCTGCCTCACCTCTGAAAACTGGAGCAAGTTGCACATTTGAAGGGTTCATACTAAATTCTGGGTGAAAAAGTTACTGGCTCGCACCAGAACGTGCAGCTCCCCAGACACACGTGTGCGAGAGAGACGGCAAGCAGACCAAAGGGGTGTGATTTAAGTCCCCAGTTTGGTACTGTCTGAAGCACCTGCCACTCAGTGTGAAGAACTGCTGATTTAGGCTGCGTTACTGAGGCTGCTTAGACACATAGTCCATCAGGGACTTTCTGGTCACACTTTTCAGCTAAACCCATCTCCCTGAGGCGTTTCTGGAATGCCGGTCACCATAGTATCTAGGTGTTGAGACATCAGCCCTGCCACCGATTTCCTGTGTCACATTCTGCTCTGCGTGCCCCTGTCCCAGGACGGCAAGAGATTTTACCACACCCTGGAAGGGCTCTGGGTATATGCCAACGACCAGATTTCATCCCCTGACATATGCCTGCCTAGCCGCACTTCATGCAGCTCATGTGACACTGTTGCTCCAGAATCTGCCCCAGCTGCCTATCAGTTTCCAGGAGGGATCTGAGGTGTTCTTGGCCTATAAAGACTTAAATGGTTTGGGCTCAAAACAGATGCAATGGGGCGAGGCGCGTGAGCCAACAGTCCCTTGGTTTGAGAGGGAAGGTGTTTTTTGTGAAGGATCCTCAACTTGGACCCCTGGAAACCAGATGTATTACCCTTAGGACTTGCTGCAAGATCCTGGGAGAAGCACTGGGACGGAGTGGGGGCACCTGGGGCTCTAGGTGGTTATTTGTTGTGGGCCTCATGCACAAGCTTTACTGTTGTAGCGTGTGAGTTACTATACAAAGCGGCCTAGCTTGCAGTCTGTTGTCTCTGTGTATTAAAAGATATTCCCCCACTTGCTGTATTGCTTCATAGTTCGGGGGCTCAGACAGGCACTTAAAAACGAACAATAATCAATGCGGGTTTCCCACCTCTGGTAGATGATGGATAGTATTTGTCACTTAAAAGGTTGGGATCCAGGTATAATTTGTTGCAGTTAACTACACACCTGAGTAGTGTTTATTCTGCGAAAGGCAGGATGGGAACAGCTTGTAGAAGAAAACAGATGCAATGCTTGTTGGCCTGGTTTTCAGCAGAGCTTTGCGGACTGTATTAGGAAGGAATTGGAAGAGGAAATAGGCAGGAATATTGCATTTCCTGCTCAAACACATGCTAGCTAAGCAGCAAGGACCCTGCATTTCATCCCAAGACTGTTTATCCCTCATACCACGTTAATCACACACAGTTGTTTCATAGGTCTCTGTTATGTCTGGTAGAGAAATGATGAGAGGCAGAAGCTAGGACATAAAAATGATGAAGCAGAGACCCAGTCAATGGCACAGACATGGGTCAAGCATACAGCTGGAAGCCTCCCCAACAGTTAAATACAGGAAAATCAAAGAGCAGAATGTGGTATAAATTTCATCACCCTGCTAAGTGTGCAGAGAACTGCCAGCTTTTCCCCCTTACATCCCTCAAGAATTGCTCCTTCGAGCCAGTGAGACGCTACAGTCCCAGAGCATTGTGCTGGTACCAAGAGTATTTCATTTCCACTGCTTGGAGACAGAAAGGCAAGGAGCGAAAGTTAAACTACAGATCGTTTCTATTCACCGTCCCCAAATTGCCAACTCTTGTGATTTTATCGTGAGACTTGCAGTACGTGGTGCTTTTCTTAGAGCCCCAGGCCCCTGGACTCGCGAGAATCTCAGCTTTCTTTTATAAAAAGGAAAGAAAAAGAAGCTTCTAGCCCTCTGGGTTGCCAGAGAAAAAGCTGCAAAATGAGAACCAACAGAACCCTAAGGCTAAGAAACCAGGGGGCAAAGAATAGGCACCTGAAGTTTGTTTTTAAACGTTGATGATTTTTAAGCCAAGCTTATAATTTGGGGGGTGGGGGGACAATGACTGACTGATCGGGATTTTTATCACAGAGGTTGCCGATGCCGCCATCCTCACAGGGCACATTCTGGTTCCTCCCAACTGAATGCACATTTCAGAACATTCTCTGCTAGCACGAGCCAGAGGCACACTCTGCCAAGGCAATGCAACGCAGACACGCCCAGCTTACCTGATTGACAGAGATAGGTGTGTGCACAACCACCCCTCCAATGATCTCCGTTTTGTAGGCCACCTGCGGTTTCTTCTCCTGGGCTTGGGGTGCAATGGGGGGCTTTGTAATCTCTGTGGCTGGGGGCAAACTACCACTCTTTGGCACCTGTGAACGACAGAAATGGGGGAGTCAAATCTAGCCCCAAACCACCCATCCTGGTAGAAATGAAGACTTAGCAGGTTTCGGCTTAGGGTCTGCAACTGGGACACTGGCCTGTCCATTCTCCTGTACAAATACAGCTGTGCCCCTTTAAACCCCACCACCAAGACACCCCACATCAAGGTTAATGAGGGTGTGGCTCCATCCCAGGTAGTTTGCAGGAGAGCCCGATGACACGAGGAAAGAAGAGAGGTGGCGGATAATTAAACATCACCTGACACGAGTCTGTGACCTGCCTCTGGAGCCCTCTGCATTTGTGCTCCTTTAATTGTCCTGCTCTCATTACTGCCAGATTTAACGATTAGCTTTTGCAAGTCTAAGCAGGTCGGTGACAGCACATCTACAGCGGTGTGACCCCAGCAGCGGGCAAGGCAGCGGCTGGGACCCAGCTTTGTATTCCGAGCACGCTGAATCATCCCCTCCCAAACACGGACACACCACTAACCAGCAAGAGGTAACAGCAGGACAAGGCCGCTCTACTCCCACTGCAGTTGGGGGAACAGCCCGCTCCATGTCCTGGGGAAAGGGCACGGATCTGGGCAGGAATCACACACACCCCCTCATGCATTTCCCTGCGTGTACGTGGCCTGTTTCTCTTGCTGTTGTCATTGGTCTTTCCCAAACCAGCTCCTGAGACTCAGGGATGTTCCTATGTAAAGTTACTTGTTCTTCCTTTGGTTGCAGATGAGACTGCAAATCTGGCTGCTCTGTCAGTCTGCCAATGGGTGTGGCATAATCAGCCACAAATGCTCACGGATCCTCCCCGGGCAGGCTGGACGCAGCCCACAACCCTCTGGCTGAAGCTGAAACCTTGGATTTTTCTGGCTAAAATCAGAGGCTCGTCACCACAAGCTGGTGTAAACTCAGGATGGATTCTCTGAACAGTGCATGAGCCCCCACATGCCAGAAGGGGCTCCCTCTGGAGCAGGTCTGGTCAAAGTGGGTCACCCATCTTAACTGGGATGGAAGCTAATGGGTGTGCTTCCTCACTGGCCTGCACTCTGTGTCAGGCATGTGTCAAAGGTGCCCTTTCCAGTTGGGTTGTGTTTTACCCACACTTCACACAGGCTGAGTCACACCACAAGCAGTGGGGCAGGGGAGAACCAGGCTGCGGTAACTCTGTGCAGGCGAAAGGAAATTGCCAACCAGTTCACATGGGGTATGTCTCTACCGCAAAAAACCCTGCAGCACCGAGACTCAGAGCCTGAGTCAACTGACTCCAGCCCACGGCACTCGGGCTGCAGGGCTAAAAATAGCCGTGCAGACACGCCTGCTTGGGCTACAAGACCCTCCGCCTTTGCCGGGCTTCAGAGCCCAGGCTCCACTCGGAGCAGGAACGTCTACACGGCTATTTTTAGCCCCACAAACCCGAGTCAATTGACCCAGACTCGGGGATGTGGTGGTGCGGCGGGTTTTCCTTTGCAGTGTAGACATACCCAGAGCTGGGGGGAGGGGCGGGGTTACCTGCCTTACTCAGAGACTTTTCAGTCACTAGGGATCCAGCCCTTTGACCTGCCCTTCGCTCTATTTACCCACACCGTTCACTTCGGCAGTATGTTCGGGGGGGGAACTAACCCACCTGTGCTAAGTATATAGTGCCAAAGGAAAGAGGCTCAAACCCAAGACAACTCCATTTCTACAGCAACAGTTTTGTTATCTGTGTCAACAATCGCTCTCCTCTGCAGAGCTGGTCTAGCACTGGCAGCAGAGAAACTGCAGAGAGAGAAGGGAATGCATCCAGATCCCTGAGCTGCAATATCGGTATCCAGTTTGTCAAGTGCCTTCACAGGCAAAGGTCTCCTCCAGGCCTTTTGGCTCCGGAGAGCCCCTGATTCTCATGCATGATTATTCCTTGCCTTCAGCATCCCCCAGACTGAGCAGAACATCCCACTCGACAGCAAGGGGACGGGACAAAGACACTGCACTACGCACTGTAAGCCAAAGGAGAAGATGTTGCTACTGGAAAATGACATGGGACAGTGCAGGTGTCCTGGGAATGGTTCTCCTCCCCCGCATGTGATTTGAAGGTTTCTTGATTGCTAGCACAGGCTAGAGGAAAGAGCTCCAGGCAGGAAGAAGACAGGCACTCCTGAGCTCTAACCATTGCTCTGACACGGACTTGCTCGGTGACCTGGGGCGAGTTGCTTAACTTCTCTGTGCTTCATTTTCCCTTTCTGTAGGAAATGGATAATATGAACATACCTTTGCAGCAGGGATGTTGGGAGGATGAATTAGTCAAGGTCTGTGCACTGCTCTGAACACGTCAGTTGCTGTGTACAGGCTAGGTACAACTATCTGGATTGCTTTCATATCAGAAGCGAGCTCACGGAGCTGAGAAACACAGAGTCTCAGAGGATATTCCTGCTATTCCCCTCGTTAGACTCATCATGTACTTTGCATTCAGTGTGCAAATTTGCACTCCTGAAAATAAGGGCTTAGCTACACACATGGTTACATCATTTTTACTTAAGGAGCGATTTAAAACCAGGTTAGTTAAACTGGTGTAAAAGGCTGTGTGGACACTCTTCTTTTGTTTGAGAGCAGGCTTATTTTTGTTTAGCTTAAGACAACTAGGAACAGATAGAAGCTAGCCCGAAATAAAGCACTCCAGAAATGACAGCATCTCCACACAAGGGTGTGGACCAGCTTAACTGAACCAGTTTAACTGAGCTGACTCAAGTTTGAGTGTAGATAAGGACTGAGAAGAGGAGTGAATAGTCCAAGACTTTCCTGGCCAGACCAGAACAGACAGCTACGGTCGCCTACAGAAAGTGATTCAGTGCTGAGCTAATCAATCCACTGGTCAGACATAGATCTGCAGCATGAAAAGGCTCAACAGAAAGCATTTTGCTGCTTTGCTGACAAACATATTTTCTCCAGTTCATCTTTGGAGTAATAATCCAAGCAGTAAACTCCAGGCAGTTCTCAAAAGCCAGGCTTCGCTAACCAAATGAAGTAGCCAGCCTTCAGTGGTAGGGAACAGGAAACATGACCATCTTAACACACCATCGCTTCCTGTTTCAGAAACAGCACAGCTGCTGTGACAGAAAGCAACGAGGCAGAAGGTTCCCACACCCGCAGGAGCCCAGCACTGTGCAGCATGTCCTCAGCAACGTACACCTGTGCAGCATGGTCCGGCGGAACTTTCTGCGGTTGTCACCCTGTGCACCAGGCCGCCAAACACGCTGGCGTGACGAGCAACGGGCCAGATCAGAACCTCTTGCGCAACATGCCGCCTTTCATCTGTCTGCATCTTCTCAAGCATCGCAGAAGGGAGTGCAGACAAGAAGGTCTGTGCACGTCACTGCCGGAGGAGCTGGTACACATGGCCAAACCAACGGAAATGGTTTCACAATGCATACGAAAAGGGAGCGTATAGTAGGGGCCTGAATCTCTGCATGCACTGCTGCTAGGGGGTGCCCGTTCGAAGCCAGCTCACAGCAATCAGCCTGTGAGTCCGTTTTCATCTGCAAAATGGAAAAAATAATTAGCTACCTCTCCAGGGTATCTACTGCAGGTAACTGCCCCAGCTACGACAGTATCTACGCACCTCAGAGTCTCTAATGTACGTATTCTCACCCCCACCACCACCCCCGCGAGGCGGGGCAGTGCTATGATCTCCACTGTACAGACAGGGCTAAGAGAAACCAAGTGACTTGCCAAAGATCACATACGAAGTCTGTGTGAGAGCAGGGAACTGAACCTGTCTCTCAATCCAAGAGGACCTCCCTAAGAGCTGGACCATCCTTCCTTCCCTGCTGTGAGGGTTAGCTTAGTGCTGCCCATGTAGAGTGCTGAAGAAATATTTTGGCAACCACAAGCAAGTAACAAATCAAGCTTTGCACAATACATATCAAGATGGAGATTTTCAATGGCAAAGGGCAGTCAGGGGCCCAGATCCCACTGAAAGTCAGGATCTCTCCCCATAACTGCAGTTGCACCTTTCAAAACCTCCCCATAAGTGACTGAGCTGTTCCAGGCTACAGCGGCCTAAGCAGCTTTGAGGATAGTCAGCCGGGACCATGACAAATGCAGAAAAGCAATGGCCTCACAGTGGGAGAAGCATGGACTGGAATCTCATGCTTCAGCCCGCAGGGGAGCCCGGCGCTCCTGGCTAGGGCTACTCGCTTGTCTGAGAACATAAGATCGGTCATACTGGGTCAGAACAATGTAGCCCAGTGTCCTGTCTTCCGACAGTGGCCAATGCCAGGTGCCCCAGAGGGAATGAACAGAGCAGGTCATCACCAAGTGATCCATCCCCTGTCACCCATTCCCAGCTTCTGGCAATTAAAGAGGAGAGCAGCCTGTCCTACTTAATAACGGTCCTTCTGAACGGTGCCTCTTCGCAAGCCGGCTCTCTCTAGACAGGCTGCCTCTGCTGTCCAGATGCTGGTGCCGTGCTTGCAATTTTACACCCCACACCCTAGCTGGGACAGACAAACCTCTCTCTCTCTTCCAAAAGACTATGAAATAAGGAAATACTAGCCCCGGGCTGAAGTGCCAAGGGAGGTTTAGAATGGAAACAGCCTTTCTTAGAACGTCTGACTCTAGACGTGCTTTAACTGGTTATTCTGGCATGTTCAATACAATATTGACACACACTGACTAATTCTGTATCCTGCACTTCAGAATTCCTCTGCCACCTAAGGCAGCTAAGCCCTGTGCATCAACCTGAGCGTATGTACCATGGGGCCAGGACAAAGAAACTCTACACAGCACACTAGTCTGGAATTGCTGGAGCACCAGTCTCCTGGGGTCTCTTTCCGGTCTCCCATCTAAATGAGTTTGTAGCCATATTGATCCCGGAAATGAAAGCAGAAGCGGCATATGCTGTTTGTTGTTGGCACAACCGATGAGCTAGCGTTTCGGCACACGGCTCCGATGCCAGATGAAGGGCCCAGCTAGCCCAATACACTCACAGAATCCTAGAATATCAGGGTTGGAAGGGACCTCAGGAGATCATCTAGTCCAACCCCCTGCTCAAAAGCAGGACCAATCCCCAACTAAATCATCCCAGCCAGGGCTTTGTCAAGCCTGACCTTAAAAACCTCAAAGGAAGGAGATTTCACCACATCCCTAGGTAACCCATTCCAGCGCTTCACCACCCTCCTAGTGAAAAAGTTTTTCCTAATATCCAACCTAAACCTCCCCCACTGCAACTTGTACATACTCTCACCCCCCCACCACTCCCGCGAAGCGGGGCAGTGCTGTGATCTCCACTGTACAGACAGGGCTAAGAGAAACCGAGAGATTTGCCAAAGATCACATATGAAGTCTGTGAGAGCAGGGAACTGAACCTGTCTCTCAATCCAAGAGGACCTCCCTAAGGGCTGGACCATCCTTCCTTCCTTGCTGTCATCTGCTACCACTGAGAACAGTCTAGATCCATCCTCTTTGGAACCCCCTTTCAGGTAGTTGAAGGTTGCTATCAAATCCCCCCTCATTCTTCTCTTCTGCAGACTAAACAATCCCAGTTCCCTCAGCCTCTCCTCATAAGTCATGTGTTCCAGTCCCCTAATCATTTTTGTTGCCCTCCGCTGGACACTTTCCAATTTTTCCACATCCTTCTTGTAGTTTGGGGCCCAAAACTGGACACAGTACTCCAGATGAGGCCTCACCAATGTCAAATAGAGGGGAACGATCACGTCCCTCTATCTACTGGCAATGCCCCTACTTATACATCCCAAAATGCCATTGGCCTTCTTGGCAACAAGGGCACACTGTTGACTCATATCCAGCTTCTTGTCCACTGTAACCCCTTGTCCACTGTAACCCCCCTTTCTGCAGGGCTGCTGCCTAGCCACTCAGTCCCTAGTCTGTAGCGGTGCATGGGATTCTTCCGTCCTAAGTGCAGGACTCTGCACTTGTCCTTGTTGAACCTCATCAGATTTCTTTTGGCCCAATCCTCTAATTTGTCTAGGTCCCTCTGTATCCTATCCCTACCCTCCAGCGTATCTACCTCGCCTCCCAGTTTAGTGTCATCTGCAAACTTGCTGAGGGTGCAATCCACACCATCCTCCAGATCATTTATGAAGATATTGAACAAAACCGGCTCCGGACAGACCCTTGGGGCACTCCACTTGAGACCGGCTGCCAACTAGACACGGAGCCATTGATCACTACCCCACTGTCTGGGTCAATGTATTTGCAGGTCTTAGGAAAGGCAGCACATTAATTCCCTTGCCCATTTTCACTGTATCTGGTCTTTCAGCGGCTATAGGTTTCTACTCAGCACCCGACCACATTGCAGCTTGGTAACGGAAATGGCCCAGAGAAGCCAGACCGTGTGAACAGGCACACGGGAGAAAGGAAATTCAGAGGGAGCAGGTGGGTCAAATCTCACACCCAAAAGTCTTGCAAATATTTTTAGCAGCACTGTCCTTTCTAACTGCCCTGTAGAAGGCAGGAGACTCCCCTGCTGGATTTGTCTGATGTGCTGAGCTACTAAAGACCCAGTCAACCAGTGAGTGACGCAGGCCAACTAGCCAATCTAGACACGCCAGAGGATCCAAGAAGGCCCAGCCAACGTTTAATAGTTTGGGTTTTAGGGGTTTAAAAAATCAAACAGGCTCCTTTCAGCAATAAACAGATGCAATTCTTTCTAAAAGCCACATACTAGGGGCCCGATTCGCCAATGGCCAGCACCTTGTATCCTCACTGACACCTCTGCAGAAGAAGTGCAGAGTGGAGGTAAAGCTCTCTCAGATCAGAACAGTAGCATTTTAAATTAACTTTCCACAGGTGCAAATGACAAAAGTGTAAGGCACAAGGAGAAACATATCAGTGTCCTTCAAGTCTAGAGTTAATATTCTACTTGTCACACTTTGGAGGACATTGCCAACAGGGCATTTGCCATTCCTCTGGGGCTGATTTAGGGCTTTTACAAGTGTAACCTGCACCCAGAAGTGAGTGGAAGGTGCAAATCAGAGCAGGTGCAGCCAAGCAGCTCACCCTCCATCAGGCAGCTGCAGGGACCCAGATTTGCATCCTCAGTTCACTTGCAGGTACAAAAAGGCAAGTGCAATGCACACCAGCAAGAGGCAGGCCAGGCTCCAGCCCTTTGGAAAATGAAATCCTTTGCATTTTATTATACTGCAATATTGTAGATGTATAGCACACCACATGATCAATTGATGCTTGGAGAAGAGAGTTCTGTGCTAAAGATCACTGCTTAACTTGTTCAACATCATTCATCTTGATACATGATTTATAAAAATCTAGGCAATAGACATCAGTGTATGAGGCAGTAAAATCCATCTAGCACTGTGACCATTAGGTATCTCGAGTCCTTCAATTCATCCTTTTAAAATCATATGACTCCTTCAATGGATCTGTTAGGTTCTGGGATGTCCCATGATGAGTCAAGCTTCAAGAACCTTAATCAGAACAGACATTTCACCAGCCCATTTCTACAAACCGAACACTAAATAGACTGTATACGGACAGCTCTATCATTCCGGTTCACTTTTATGCTTAAATTACCATCAACAACAGGGACAGGCAGCATCTCTCATTGTAAGGAGCATTAAACAGCCAAGGAGAAGACAAACCAGGAGTCACTGGGCCACTGTTAACTTATGGCTATATAAATGCACTGGTATATGAGAGGGAAAGACAGAGACATGTCCAGTCACATTCTCTCCCTTACTGTGTCCCACAATACAAAGCGTTTGCTGTGTCAAATCTCATGAGACCAACCGTACCAGGAAGGAGAAAAACTGAATAAGCAAATTACTTTAGCACAAGAAATAAACCCTTTGATAGCAGCAGCAAGAAATCAGTTACACACGGATCCCAGGCTTCAATAATTACATTAACACAGTGGCACCAGAAAGTGCCTATCTCCATTAGAAGCTTCTCTTTTCCAAGGGTTTAATCATGGTCACACGCAGCAGCTGTGCCTGGGAATACGGGAAGTGAATTTATTTTATCTTTGTTTATAAATATAAAAATCTCTCCAGATTTAAGTTACCAGAGAAGAAAAGAAGCCACAGAGATCACTCATCTGAGGCCAGATTTGCAGAATAGCTCACTTACTATAGTTTTCAATGGTAGCTACTGGTCCTAAGGACTTCTGAAATTCTGGCCCACATTGTGGGTGCTGAGCTTAGAACTTAGGTGCTGTGTCTTTTTCCAGCTCTAAAATCTCTTTAGGAAGCTTCATAACCAAAAGATCAGCCCCTTTTCTTGGAGTATTTTCTTTCTTCAATTAAAATCATGCAAGTCATTAAAACTTGCAAAGCAGCAACTAAGCATGCAGAGTGTCAACTTCTCTGTACTGCCTGGGAAGTTGCAGCAGTCCCATTCCTTCCAATGGGAGCTGAGGGAGCTCAGGAGCCAATGGCATCACGATTGCTTTATAGCACAGAGCCGCACGATGCTGAATGTGGATAGATCAGAGCAGCTCCCAAGGGGACTGAAGGACAGAGCAGCAGCTAGCTGAGAGCAGGGTTTCAACTCCTTTCCTGGTTTTGTGGCTGTGAATCACAACCTCAGCATTAATTAAAACATGACAGACTCAAAAATCTGAGTAGGAATTTCCTGCAGAGCCAGCAGTGCTAATGCCACATCAAGAGCGGCTCAGCCTCAGAGCACAGCTGGCCCCGGGAGCAGCCCGTTTCTGGCCAGACTCAACCATTACCTTTGAGCAGGTTGCAGAAAGGAGATGGGGGATGAGGTCAGAGCAAGAAGTTAAATACGGCTTTTCCAAACATTTCTCGGACAGCCCCACTGCCCAACAGGGAAGTGGAGAAAGCAGTGACAGCAGCGTTAACATACCGTAATCTTGCTGGCACGGTTCAGAGCCTCCACCCAGTCCTGTAGGTCCTTTTGATCGCTGGCTTGTAAGAAATACCGCTGAGATAAAGCATTGATAACTATCAAAGAGAGGGGGGGAAAAAAGAGAGGGAACCCCAATCAGTGCTCAGCATGGTTAAATTAATTCATAAGAATTAATTCATAAGAATTAATTAATAAGAATACCTTGCACATCAGCAGCACCTCTCAACTTCCAACCCCACAGTACCCTGCAAGCATTACCTATTTCAGCCTTGCAACCACTTGACTGGAAAATATGCCAGGAACCACCACTGAGCTGCAGCCACCTCTGGGGTGGAGTATGGCAGCTGTTTAACTGCACATTGCCACACTACACAACAGTTCAGGACTGGCTGTGAAGAATACCACAATCCAACTGAAACCACAGAGGGAATTTAGGGGGAGAGAATGGAATGATCTGAATTAGAATTTAACCAGGGCATTCGTGGTAACATGCTTACAAGTGCCCTGGGAGCTGTTATGACCGCCAGTGGTCACAACCACAGTTTTAAGTTTCATCTGCAACGATCAAAGGAAGATCAAATCCTGAACAGGAGTCCCATGGGAGTCTGGAAAGCTCTCTTGGGACACGCATCCCCTCCTCTCCACCCCTGACTTCTCAGCTAGTGTGGCCTTCTGGCTTGCAGCAGCTGGGTCAAAGGAAACATCCTCATAGGATTTCTGCATTGAAAACCTTGAGACATTTTGAATTGCGCAAGGTTTTGTTGAGACCCGTGCCTCCTCACGTCAGCCATCTGCACTTGCACTGCCCTGCCGCCAATGCACTCTGTGCTGGGGTGTCCGGAGTCCCAAGGAGTTAAACCAGAGCACTCCCCATATTTTAGGCACATGAGATTCTGTAGCACAGCACAGCAAAGCAGCAAGCTCAGTCATGGCGTGGGAATATGCTACCTGCTCTGGGTTTGGTACTGATTCATGTCCCCTGCATGCAAGTATAGAAAATTGTGGCACCCCGCTACCCCCCCCCGCCGCCGCACCCCAAGCCCTTTGAGACAGGTATGTGCTGGTGGTGTTGTTTCTGCTGCTTTAACTCTGAGGTAAGTTTAGTGCTCATGAAAGTGAGGAACTTTTGTGGCTTGGGTAAAGCCGAGGGCCACCGGGAAGGGAAAACAATCCCAGACCACCTCTTCTTTGCAATTACAGGCACACAGAAAAATACATTGTATAATGCACTGCAGCATTAGGGTGAATATGGGGGAAGCCTCCATTAGCGCAGAGAAGCACTAGGACAAGGTTGCTCAGGCTAGACAACCACCCACAGTATCCAGGCTACTGGGGGGGACAGGGAAAAACCGAGGTCCCCTCCCACCCAAAGGGAGAAATCCACCCCTGTGCAGAAGACGCCAGCACAAGGATCAAGGCACCATTTAGCCCTATGGGTTTCAGAGGGACTTAAGTGGTGCATAGTCCTTTGTGCTGACTGCGCTGTACAAGTGCGAATTTCACCCTCTCTGAAAACATCCTTCCAGCAACACGCAGTATCTCACACTTCTGGAACACCATATACTAATGAACAAAGAAGGCCCAGGGATAATTGCTGTTTATGAATTCTCATGGTTTATAACAGCACCTAACCATCCAGTCCTCCCGTCAGAGACCTGTCATTATGTGAGCGCTGGGCATTTTGGTGCTTTCCCCCGCCATCATATGTTACACTCACCAAAGCAGAATGGGACTTTTGGTTTTTGTTTTGGGGTGGCGACGCTGACCTGAAGAGAAACAGATTTTTAAAATAAATCACGTTAGCGGCAGTGAGATGGGGCAGCATCTGTTTCTGTTAGAAAGGACACATTGTCTTCCATTCTTCAGCACTGTAATTAAGACCATTTATAAATCATGAGGAAATCAAGCGAGCCTGAGTCAAAGCAAAATTAACATGACAAGTGAGAATGGCTCATCAGCACATCCTTCCTCACATACCTCCTTCGTCTGAGTTTTGTCTCACTAGATGTGCCTTCCTCACCATGGGCCCACATGTACCTGTGTCCTGCGCAAACGTCCCATGGTTCGTGCTAGATAGCAGAATTCCACTTGGATTTCTCCGGGGGAGAGATGTATATGCATATCCACACCACTATATGGCTCTGGTAACTGCAAATTTAGCCCATGGATGTGGCTAAAACCTTGCCTACAAGATCTATGCCTCTGCTGAAGATGAAAAAAGAACTAGCACCTCACTAGCAAAACCTGTGCTTTACCATGGTTCTGGCCCTGGCGTTAAGAGAGTAGGTGCATGTTCATACCTGGGCATGCTAACAGACGCAGCTCACCTAGAACGGCTATTTCAGCACAGGGTACGCATGCCCTAGCGTGGCGTAATTCCTCTTCCACACCAAATCTATGATGCGGATACACTGCAATGCTACTATTTTACTACAACATTTTCTCTGGCGCAGAGTCGCTTTCTTTTGCTGGAAATAGACCATCACCGAGCATGAAAAGGACTGCCTTGCAGCAAACCAGGCGAGCCTCTGTGTCACAAAACCACCCCAGATATGTTAACAGGCAAAGTGACAGTTGGCCTTTAGCGGCAGATATATCCTGTGCATATCAGAATGAGATTTATGATGCAAGTTCACCACCACTGCTACTCACGACGAGGTGCCCCACAGCTGAGTTAGCTCAGGAACTCATTCATATCAGATTTAATAGAGACCACGTGTGGTAACGAACTCAGCAGCCCCAAAAGAAGGTCACTTCAGAGAGCAGCCTTCATCTGCTGTTCTCCCTCTACTCCAGTGCCAGCCACACTGCACAACAAGGATGCAGATTCTTTTGGGGCCCTGGAAGTATGACTTTCTGTTGGACCAAATGCACTCTGTGCGGTAATTAAGAAAACTGAAGGGAAATAACAGTGGTTGCTCCCTAAAGAATAGGAATCATTTTTGTAAGAGTAATATTCCCCGGGGGCTCCAGGCATGGCCTTTATAGAGTATATTTATTTTGACAGGCCGCCTACTTCTGAACCAGTCTGTAATACTTTAAATATGCTTTCTCAAGCAAACCTCCATTTCTCTGGCATGTTTATAATTGGTAGTTAAAGCCATTGGTATAACCCAACCCTGCAGTTTTCGACTGAATCCAGAGCTGTAGCAATTTTCATTTAGTCTAAAATATATATAATTTATCAGTGAAGTTCCTTCTGAAATGGGGAAGACTGCATCCCTCAGCATGGCTTCATCTGAGCTTAATTTATAAATCATGAATCAGCAGGAGCAGAGATCTGCTGGGTCTTTTTCCAACGACAGTAACCAAAGCTGTAACTACAGTAACCCACCCCAGGCCAAGATCCAGAAGGTCGAACTTCCAAGCACATCTAGGTGGCACATACAATCCCAACTTGCCTGATCAACAGAGCCATGATATTAGACACGTGACTCTCTGTCAAGGGATTTAAAGCACAAGGTGTGCTAAGAAAGCAACATTTCCTACCACGTATTGTTCCCTGTGCTGTTTGCACCCACATGGCCCACCTTACAGTCTTTCTGGTGGATGCTGTTCCAGCTAATCTGTCTTGGCCCTGTACCACTCGAGCACTGCACATGAATGAAGTCGTAGGAAAAGATGCACATTTTGTAGATGGGCACAGAAAGACTAAGTGACTCACTCAAGGCCACATAAAGAATCTGGACTAGGGCAGAGGTAGGATTTGAACCCAGGACTCCCACATCTCAGCTAGTGCCTTAACCACAAGGCAGTCTTCCTCTGGGAAGAGATTCTCAATGTTTCCAGAACCGGGGCTGCCTGCTGGCAAACACAGAGGCCACCCTGTGCTCAGCACTAGCTCACACCCACCCTTGGACACTAGTGCCTGCTATATTAAGGCGGGGAGTGGGGATATTGGCCAGGGTACTAGACGTCCCCTCCACTCTTCTCTAAAAGTCCCCTAGTATATTTAACATTCCTTAGGCACGCCCCAGAAATTAGCAGAAGGGACCTTGGTTGGACATATCCAGAGGACAGTGACTGCTCCTGGCACTGCACAGCCAGGACAGCACTGGGCCTGAGCCAAAGTTCTGGCATGAGGACTCGAACCCACAACCTTATGTCCTAGAGGGGGTGACTACAACTGAAGGGAACAGACACTGAAGACAGACATGGGGGATTTGATTCTCTACCCTCTTGCTCTCCGGGCAGTCAGTCACACCAGTGCAGAATGGGTGTGCAGTGCTACCAGACATCCAGGGTGGAGTGTGATGTGTGGCAAAGGACTCCCAGGGGGCAAAGAAGCGGAGAATCAGGCCCTGAAACAACAACACTGCAGCCAGCCACACAGGAAGAGGAGCAGCCTTCAGAATGGGCACTTGGAGACCCTGCCCTCTAAGGTAGGTGTCAATTCCACCTGGAGGAGACACACCCACGCTAGCTTTGACCCAGGTAATGGGCTAAAAACCGAAGCAGAGCTGCTGTGATGCAAGCAGTGGGAGGGGCCAGCTTCCCCGGGTACAAGCCCATCTGAGACCACAGGAAGATACAGGGGATGGCTGGCCCGTCCCATGGCTCACACCACTGGGGCCCCACAGTTACAGTCAGCGCCCTAGCTCATCCGGAGCTGCTGCAGGCAGGTGTCCTTGAGCTGGAATTTACACTCTGGTTTGAAGCACAGACAGACCTGAGGCTACATCTACATCGGCGCTGGGGGTGGGATTCCCAGCCCTCGCGGATGTCCGTGCGTTAGCTCTCAAGCTAGCCCACCAAAACTAGCAGCGTGGCCAGGGAAGCAGCGAGGGCTGCCAACCCTCCAGGACTGTCCTGGAGTCTCCAGGAATTAAAGATTATGTCCTGTGATGAAACCTTCAGGAATTCATCCAATCAGAACTGGCGACCCTAGAAGCAGCATGGGCTAGTTGTGCCAAGGACAAACCCAGCAGAACCCGGTGGGTTCGTTCTCAGCACAGCCGGAGCCGGTGCCACCGCTGGCCACGGCCCATGCTACCCTATCTACACAGCGCTAGCTCGATGAGCGGGCGGGAGCCGGTATCACTCCGCTAGCTCCAAACGCAGACAGAACCACATTTACACAGGAGAGTCCCGCTCAGTTGGGTGCGGCTTTGAATCAGAAGCTCATTCAAGTCGCCATGGAAGCGTCACAGGAGAGGCATGTAGGAAACAATGCACCCTCTACTGAAGCTTCTTGGGACGGGGCCCATCTCTCACTAGCTGTGCAGGGCCCAGCAAAATGGGCCTGACCTCATCTGGGGCCCTCTAGGCCCTCCTGTACTACACATTAAATAACCGCAACACAACTCCCGAGTCTCAGAGAGAGCCGTGTTGAGCAGTGGGTGATGTTTACATGACACCTTGTTACAGATTATTATTTACTTAAACTAATTACAAACCTGATAAAACACATAGTTATGCATGTGAACCAGGTTCAATCGGATGCTGAGTGAGACTGGCACTCTGAGCAATGAAATAGATTTAAAATGCTGTCTTCCAGCCGGGAAGTTTCGTCTGCAAATAGCTCACGGCTGGGGCATCAGGCCCGATCGGGACTCTGTACTGGTTGCCCTTACTAAAAGCTTCCGGGTTCTGTGGCTCTGCATTCTTCCTCATTATTGAAATACCTCCTTCCTACCCAGCAATCCTGCTGGCCTACGTGATATCATTTTACAACGGAAATGCAGACCTCTTTGCTACACGAGAGACCTGTCACAGTAGAGCTGGCAGGACTCAGAGGATCCGTTTGGCAGGCAATTCCACAATTTCAAATTTTCGAAACAAAAAAAAAATTCAACGTTTCCCAGGAAACAAATTTCTGGAAAAAATGATTCGTTTCAGGTCGTTTTGTTACCTTTTCCAACTTTTTAAAACATCAACTTTTTTAACACTAAAAAAATACCAAACCACCTTATGAGTTTAATTTTGAAAAGTTGTTTCAAAATTTAAAAAAACTGAAATGTTATATTCCTCAAAACATCAAGATATTCTAACATTATTGCAATGCTTAGTTCTGGGTTTTTTCTAAACAACAGTTCATCAAAATCAGTAGATTCTTCAAAAAACTTTGAGTTCAGCAAAAAGGACATTTTTGGTTGACAAACATTCTGAAGAACAATATCCTCACCAGTTCTACCCAGCAGTAGTATATAGAGCAGATAACTCTGGACTCCTACAATTTTCTGTACTGGGCAGGCCATTAGCTTATTTCTAGGTCTAGTTCACCTCCCCCCACAGCAGAGCAGTTCTGAGACACCACCCTCCCATTACCTTGGATATATAGGTCAGCGGCAAAGATCCAACAGCTCCTGACCCGAGAGCCAGATTCTGCAAAACAGTCAAGAATGTTAAGAGTTAAACGATAAATAGTCACAAACCAGGTGAGCTAGGCGATCAGCTTACACTTTGTTTACGGAAGGGCACCTTCATACTTCTGTCCTCACCGACAGCCTCTATAAGTCAGCATTTTACCTTGGTGTGAGATCCATCACTATGCATCAGCAAGGCAGTAAGGGGTGCACTAGTTGCTGGGTAGTTTATTGCATGGGGAAAGTTGTTCTGTTCTTTAACATTAGCCAAGGGGCCAGAGACCATGGCACTGGGCATAGATTATAAATGAAAATAAAATAAAATTTGCTTTGAGCTGCGTTTACAAAAGCCACACAATGAACGCTAGTCCAAATGGTGACTGGTGCTGGTGCACACACAAGAGATTCCTATAGCTCTCCTTTTATTCTTATTATTTTAATCACTGTAGTAAATGCCACGACCACTCCAGGAGCTGCCAGCCACAACAGACACAAAACTCCAGACCCCTGGCTACTGGGTGAGCATATTCTGCATGACCCCATTTCTAGGATGACAGATATTTTAATAATTTTTGTTACTGTCTTTACACTGAGATATGAACTGGAATGGGGACCTAATAATGTCTCACACTGACATAGTACTTTATCATCTCTTCAGGGAATAAATTGTATAAAATATCATTGGCATGGTCTAAGAGAGCATAGTATACACAGAGAAACTGATTTGTTGCAGTTTCCTCTTGCAAAGAAAGAGGAAAGTCTAACAACATACATGGCAGAAAGCATCCTGCATCATTTCATTTCTGAGGCCCCAATTCAGCAAAGCAGATGCTTAACTTCATGTATGTGCCGAAGCCCATTCCTATTCAGCAAAACACTTAAGCAGGAGCTTAACTTTGAGCACATGTCTCACTGAAGTTAGAGGGACTTGAGGCGTGTGCTTAAGTGCTCTGCTGGATTGGGGCCTGAAAGTAGATGCGGCTCACACAAAACTTTACACAGATTATACTATTTAGCAAAATGAGAAAGAGGAAGATACAGCTCCCCACACCCCGCCCCCATTTGATACAGCAAGCAGCAGGCATTTCTGGCTGATACTGACTCATCAGAATAGCTCCGCATTCTAACCACAGCTGTGAACTGCCCTAGGAGTAACATCTGGGAGAGTGACCAATCACTGCACCCCTATGGGTCAGAGCCAACTTTGAAAAGAAACTGTTACCCCACATTCCACCTCCAACTTTGGGCCTGCGGCTGGTTCACCACCATGGAGCCGAATGGTTCACTGGCTGAGACCAGAAGACATTCTAGTTGTATTTGTCTTGGATTCAAAGTCTAAAAGGGTGTGGAGGGGGAATTCAGGAACATTTTTGACACACGGCTCACACATACTGATAACAGATACTATCCAGTCACATTTCAGCTTCCCTCAGCAAGAAAGCACAGCACAGAGTGACCCATCCCACTTGAAAATGAAGGGCTGCTTCCAGCTGCACTCAGGCTCAACGCTGCTTCAGTGAAGTGACCCAGCACCAGCTTCCCAACAGAGGCCTGATCCAAACGCTCTGAAGCCAATGAGAGTCTTTCCACAGATTTCAATGGGCTTTGGATCAGAAATTCATCCTCAGAGCAGGAAAAGGATATGAGTGAGCACCATACTTAAAAAAAAAAAAAAAAAAGAGAGAGACAGAGACCACCCTCTGTATTGCTTACTGAGCATGGTGCAATATATTCACCCCATGTTGTGGCAAGACAGAATATGAAAAGGCACAATAGAATCTGCTATCCCTACCACCACATCCTTTGAGACACTCTCTCCATCCCATAAAGGCATCTCTTCTATGTGACTTAAAGCATCAAGGAAAATTAGTGGTGCGAGACAACTTTACGGGACATGGCTTCCCCAGAAACAGGCATCAGATAATCTGACACAAATGGACATCCAAATGGCGACTTTCCATTATGACACCCACGAGATTAATGATGGGATGTTTTGTGCCAAAACAACCCAATGATTGAACTGCAGAGAGGATTTCACCTCTCCAAGATCCTGATATTTGCAGTGTTATTGTAGCCACGGTGGTCCCAGGATCCTAGAGAGACAAGGTGGGTGATGTAGTGTCTTTTACTGAACGAACTTCTCTTGGTGAAAGAGATGAGCTTTTGAGTTACACAGAGCTGAAGAACTCTGTATAGCGTGAAAGCTTGTCTCGCTCATCAACAGAAGTTGTTCCAATAAAAGATCTTACCTCCCCCACCTTGTCTCACTGGGATCCTGGTAGACTGTTACGTGGCAGTTTTAACATCAGAATGGGAAATAAATCATTCCAGATTGCTGACAAGGACAGGGTTCCGGGCACAAGGAAACCCACTTTCTCCAGCACTGAAGTTGCGGTCTCTGCTTGTCTTAACTAGTGCTCGAAGCTGGTGTAATAAAAATGGGGGGGTGGGGGGAAGAGAAAAATAGGGGGGGTGGGGAATGTGAAGCCAATTAAAAAACGTGATCCCAGTTTCTGGGATTTCAATAGCAGAACCTGTCTAAATAAACCCTGTTTACTCCCATCATTAGAGTCTGAACACCAGCAGCACTGCTAAGGTGTCCAAGGTAACTGGGGAAAAAAGATCTGCATGATGAAAAGCCAGCTCTAGCTGCGAAATCCTAGCACTGAACTCTTGTAACAAATGCATCCTCTTCTTAAGAGGCACTGAGTGGGAGGGGCAGATGCAGCATAAATCAGGAAGCAGAAGCCCTTTCAGCTGTGAAGTATGAAAGCCATGGAGATCTGCAGTGCTCCACGGAGCCCATTCTGGGACCTCACCTGGGGATTGTCCATATACCACAGAAGACAATTGGCCTGGGTGTCCAGGATGAAATATCTTCGCAGAAACTTGCCGCAGGTCTCATTTTCTTCAATGTCTAGAAACCCACAGATACGATTCTGTCGATCCACATAAGGCATTCCGGGCTTCTTGTAGCATCACCCTAGAAAACATAAAAGCCTGCCGATGAAGCCAGGGTACTCCCAACCCCTACCCTAAGCAGCCATGGCAGTGAAGTGTTCTTTCCCTGTTCTAGGTTGACTTCATATTCATACACACCTCCCTTTCTGTTTCCCTGTCAAGAGCTGGGATGACAGCTCAGTCACCAGGTTTGGGCATGCAGCCTAAAGCAGCTGAGCGTGAGGAAGAAGATGGTTGGATTGGGTTATATTTGACACACAGACATTATTCTGTTCCACTTTCACATTTAACTGGCCGTTAGCAGGTTGGTCCCGCCACACGTAAACGGAAACATTTGTGCAAATTCCACCTCCTTGAGGTTGCACATCATTTCACAGCCCAAACGTCAGGAAATTAAACAACAGATACCGGGTATTTAGCTTGGTCTAGAGGCTGAGCTCCTCATCGCAGGATGGTTGAAGTAGGTAATAGAAGGTTCAGGCCTCAATCCTGGCAGGCTCCCACACCCACGCAGAACGCGGTTGGATTCAATGGAGCTCCCAGCAGGGTTTCAGCAGCATGGTCAGCTGCAGGACTGAGGCCTGGGATTGTATTCAGTCTGTTATCCAAACTGCCTGGTGCCTCTGCTAGGGACAGGACAGAACCAAACCCTACCCCACCTTTGCATGTTTCTGCTATTAGCAGACAGGCCACCACAAACTGAGGAATTCCAGGTCACGGCGAGACAAAGACACCAGCATAACAATTCTGGACACATTCGGAAGCTGGGTAAATAAAAAAAACAGACCAGAGTGACCAAAATAGCTCAGCTGAGGAACTGCAGGAGTTAAGAGAGCAGGGAGCTTCCAGGAACTACAGATGGCCTTAATCACTACAAGCTGCTCGCTAGCCTGACAGCACTATTGCAAGAGGACTCAGAACACTTCACTGTTCCCCACCTTGTCACAGCAGAAGGGCCACCTGGATGGTCACAGAGCAGCAGCAGGCCAAAGAGAAACAACGGACCCAGGACGGAGCAAGACATCATCCCTTGCAACAGAGCAGCAGCTGGTGATGCAGGGAGGCCTAGGAGGACCCCACCCCCTTTCTACTCCACAGGCATCTAGGAGACAGCAAACTCAAAGGCCCGCAGCCCTTGGCCAAAACAAACAAAACAATAATTACAAACGGGTGAACAGCCAGGAGAGCTTTGTGGCAGGAAAAGCACAAGTCACTCAGCCCCTGAGAACTGCAAAGCCTCAAATCAAAGCGAGAGAGAGCGTGTGTGCACGCACACACTCACTCCTAGGGAATGGAAAATAAACTGCAACTCCTGCAGAAAGCATGTGTAGTTGGGATGCAGAGTCAGCAAGACAGCAATGATCAGTCCTCTCTGGGTAAAAACGTGTCACTAAATCCACTCGAGCCACAAACACCTTCCAACACTACCTTTGTTCCTCAGGGCCCAGCATCTGCCACCGAGCCTCAGGGCTCCTGTGCCCTACAGGAACATTGTTCTACAAAGGGACAGAGCATGGCTGAACAAGGAGAGCTCAACAGTTGCAGTCTGAGCAGGAACAAACTGTCCTTTTGGAGAAGTTGAGAGTTTTTCAAAAAGAGCCATAAGAATCTGGGAAGATTCAGCCCTACAGAGAAAGAACCTCCCTCCCTGCTGGCCAAGAGCTCAGATACCACACAGAGAGACTCCTGAGAAAGTCAGTGAGAGAGAAGAACAAGATGCCAGGTTTGACAGCGTGATGGTTAGAACCCTGGCGACTGGTCTCTACGAGCACCCGCAACTGGTGCTGGTGCAAGGGAGGAAGATTTGGGACCTAGCTCTTCGTCATCTTGCAACACTGTCATTTACAGTAAGTGCAAAGTGGGTGCAAAGCCCCACCAGTCTAGAGTGGCAGAGCCTCACACTCAATCTGCAGGGTGTGAACGACTGGGGCAATGGAGAATCAGGCCCTTTAAGGTGGAGCTCACTGCGGATGCAGTCTATGGGACTGATTCTCCACTGCCTTGCACACTGTCGCCATTTACATACATGTAGAGTTGGCACAAGACGCTACCCACTTTGCACTGGTCCATGTCCCAACACAAGGTGCAGAGCAGTGGAGAATCAGACACTGTATGTAGGTAGCTGGAAAGGCACCATATCTCAGAAACGCCTTGGGCGAGAAGCCTCGTAATTACTGTGACTCTTGGTGGATGGAATGGGAGGTGACCTATATCTCGTATATCAAATACGCCACAGGTGGAGTCTGGCTGTGAACTAGCAGGAGCGTGAAAGGCAGCCCATGTAAGCCCCACCGAAATGGGCAGCACAAATAAAGGTCTTCTACAGATAAGGAGAAAATACGATTTTTTACCTTAAAAATTGTGATGGGTGGTTTCAGGGGGCACCCCTGTAGAAACGTACTGTCCAGTAGTTAGACAGATGGGACAGAGAATAAAATGTCTGCTGTCATCTATTCATATTTTCAGCATCAGCGTTTGGAGCCATGTATCACATTCAGAAGCAGGGTGGGAAGCGACCAGGGAGACTTGACTGGCCTGGAAGCAGCACCCAGCAGAGACAGGGCGCTGTTTTGACAAAGGTCACCTCCTAGTAAACTTCTATTGACTTAGGGGAATTTGAGCAGTCTTACTCTGAAGAGACCAAAGGCTGAAGGGCAGAGTGTGGGTAGTCTGGCTTGCTGGCACGGGTGAGAGAGAGAGAAGGCAACACACCGAAAATTATGAAGACCTTTGGATGTCATTAGAATCAGATTAGCCATTTGGCCCAGACAGAATAAAGGATACTGTGAAACAGATTTGGAATCAACGTTAATTATTAATATATTAAGCCATTGCCTCTAGACACATGACAATAAATATCATAGCAGAGCACTGTTAAATACAAACACTGGGCCCAGGCCAAGGCAGGAGGACAGCACTGGCTTTCCCAGGCTCTGCTGACATGGAGAAGCTGTTCCAGTTTAACTAAAGGTATGATTTTAAACCGATATAGTTAAAGCAGCACAAATCCCTGTGTGGACCCTTATTTTTGTTTCAGAGCACACTGATATGGTTCAGCTTAAATCAAATCCTGACTGATTTCAGATCAGCAGAAATAAGAGTGTCCACACAGGAGTTTGCACCAATTTAAAACCATACCTTCAGTTCAGCTGGTCTGTGTGTGTAGACTGGGCTTCAGAAATGCTGCTGCAAATAAAAAGTAAGACAGGTCATGGTGTTTCAGAAGGGGAGGAAAAAGGAGACACACACACCATCTGGTGAGGAAGCTGGGAAGACATGTGGCCCATCAATTCCACCAGGAACAAGCTCAGGGCCCAGTTCTGCCAGCTTTACCTCAGGCTGGCTCCACAAGTCACCCCACTGAAATGAACGTGACCACTCATGAAGTAAGGTGCTGAGCAAGGGGGCAGGTTAGGCCCAAAATGAAAGAGCTGATTAGCCAGGTGCTATCAAGTTGCAGAGCGTGTGTATTAGCAATACACTGCTTCTCAGGTGTTTACAAAGTTGTTCAGTAAGGCCGTTCCCTGACAAGTCCAGACAAGTGACATTCCCATAGTCATGGGGCCCTTAAAACGGTACAGTTACAACTCAGCAGCACCTGTGAGCAGTAGCCAAACTCTACTTGGAAGTGACCCTAATAAAGATGCAAATTATTTTATGAATCTCAGTCTTTAGTCAAGGCCCTTAAACCACAGAGTTAGTACAAAGTGTAAAGAAATCGACTTTACTAACAGAGATAAAGGGCAGCTGTACCACGGTACTAACAGGCGATAACAAATTAACGAAACTCGAGCACCAGGCACTTCTGGGCTGCAGAACCCCTTCCTCTGCAGTGTTATGTGAAAGGCTGGTCAAAAATGCTGCGGTTTCTTATGGTTTTGCTCTGCCTCAATTAACACGAGCTTGATCAAGAATACTCAGATGCTCAGCTCCTTCTGCACAGGAAAAGGTGACAGTGACCAACCTTAGATTGCACTTTGAGATACAAAAATCAGTGGGCAGATGAGATAATGATCACGCTGAGCTTTAAGTTCTGGAATGTACTCTTTTTTAGCATGCTATAGGGAGGCAATCATCATGCAAACCCCTTACTCTGGTTACAGTGATCCATTTTCCAGTATGCTGCAGGACAGAAGTTGCACTTATCCACCTGTCTCTTTAGAACCATCCACAGTTTCTCTTTCCCATAAGCTCAAAATAAGAATAGCATCTGCAGTTCCACTAGGTGGGGGTTTTCCCATCTTCCAGCTCCAGAAATCCGGCCGGAGTCAGGAAGAGTTTTCCCAAAGTTTAGTCTTGTTATAATATTCAGCACTTATGTAGCACCTGACACCTTCAAAGCACTGTACAACTTAGTCAACTGGCTGTACAGTTAGATGCATTCTGGGAAGTTTACACCTTCATATTTCACATCCAACATTGTTCACTGCCGGAGAGAGAACACTAGACTGAACATACCATTGACCTGTTCTACTGTAGCATTTCCTACCACATGCATATTTGCATAGAAATACTGTTACCCACCATGAGTTCACAGCCCTGAAACAGGTTTAAGACACGATAATGAGGAAATCAGAGTAGCAGCCGTGTTAGTCTTTATCCGCAAAAAGAACAGGAGTATTTGCGGCACCTTAGAAACTAACACATTTATTAGAGCATAAGCTTTCGTGGGCAACAGCCCACTTCATCGGATGCATCGAATGGAACATATAGTAAGATATATACTACTTACTATATATTCCATTCGATGCATCCGATGAAGTGAGCTGTAGCCCACGAAAGCTTATGCTCTAATAAATGTGTTAGTCTCTAAGGTGCCGCAAGTACTCCTGTTCTTTTTAACAAGGGAAGAATCACAGGATAAGGCTAGCAGAGTCAACGATGATTTGAAGGCATCTTAATTCATGGCCAGAACCTTTGCCTGAAACTCAGTAACCAATTACTTCTGTTCCTCAATTATTAGAACAAAGAGCTGACGATCACTGGAGCAACCACACAAGCTGGAACAGATGATACATATTTATATTTTCTGTATCCTACAACAGTGGAAGACAGCACCGTCTGAGACACAAAGAACTGACTGCAAAAAGGGGAAAAAACTCAGTTGTGCTTATGCTTTACAACTACTTAACATAATTTAGAACTGCTAATGACTCCCTGAAGGCCTAGCAATCCGAAGAGCATGTCCCGTTATAACTTTAGATTACATACATTATAAATTATGAACAGGATAATGATACTGAGCACATGAAGTCACAGTTTATGGGAGAAGTTTCAATCTGATTTCTGGAAGCCAGTCTGAAATCTAACACTGATTTAAAGAATTTCCCAAGACTAGCAGTGGAATTAGGCCCTTAGGATCTCATTACTGGTTCCAATTTATGTCAACACAACACAGAATGAAGTTCTCTTGCTTTCTGGGATTCTTTCCTTCTATTGCCTTTTCAACACAGTTAGATGAGCAAAATATTCATAAATTCACCCCCTTCCAAAAAAAAAACAAAAACAAAAACCACACCAAAATACCCCCAAAACAACACAACCCTGGCCTGGTTCAACTAATGTGATGACCCAGTAAAGAACTTACTGGAAAAGATTTCCAGCACAAGACAACCAACCTCTCTGATTTCCACCCAGGATACAGGAAGAGTATGGCACTGCTCCCTGAATAAAACAGCCTCACCAGGAGTTATAAAATGGAAAGGGAATCATTCAAATCACATTCAAACCCAATTACAGTTACTGTCAACTCAATGACCTGTGATGCTGCGAGGGGGCAGAGTTCCCAGGAACTGAATCCCAAAATCTCAGTTATCAAAGAGAGGGATGCTTTTCCCTCGTTTTGTCCTGAGATGCAACGTTACAGGGGTTTCTTCACTTTTTCATCCCGCTTCAGCGACACTGAACAGCATCATCATCAATGCAACTCTTAGAGCAAAAAGCATATTAAGAAAAAAGAAATCTTCAGACTTGGTGTTCCTAAAATGACAGTGCAAAGTAGCCATTCGATAAATTAGGGTGTGTCTACATGTACATTAGAGAGACGAGGTGGGGGAAGGAATATATTTTATTGCACCAACTTTTGTTAGTGAAAGACAAGCTTTTGAGTTGACACAGAGCTCTTCCCAGTCTACACCAACAGAAGTTGGTCCAATAAAATATATTACCTCCCGCACCTTGTCTCTCTAATATCCTGGGACCAGCATGGCTACAACAAAACCACATACATGTGGATATACAGGAAAATTAATCCAAATTAATTAAGGGTGTGAATGTGAAGTGAATTAGTTAAACCACATTAAATCCCTGTGGGAATACCATGATTCAGAATTAAAGCGGCCTTCACTTCCTAAGTGAATTAAACTAAACCAAATTAAAACACCATCCACACAGGGATTTAATTCAGTATAGCTAATCCACTTCAAATTCACACCGTTAGTTAATTTGGATTAACTTTCTGGATGCCCCCATATAGACAAGCCCTTAGATGGTCCAGTATGACACAGCTAGGTCAGTCTAGGGCACAGTGCAGGAGATCACACTGCAAGGGACTACAGAGTTTAGGGATTTGTAAATGGAAGAGTCATATGCTGTGCAATAAATGGGTATTCTGCTGGCACCAGACTCTGAGAGCCTCTGCACTTGGTATCCTTGAAAATAATGGGAACCAAGATACTGGATCCACTCCAAGGAAACAGCATCACTGTCAACATGGATCTATCTACCTTTTTAACTATTTGTACTGGACTTGTCACCTTGGTACCTGGATCTACAGCATAGTCAATGCTTTTCTTACAGACAACAGAGACAGTTTCCCTCTCTCAGGAGTTTAAATGTGAGATGACACGGGACTACTTTAGCTCCACTGCTGTCTTGGGTCACCAAATTATACCCACTCTTCCACAAAGCATCAACAGTTCCCAAGGCACCACCTAGTACACAGTTATTAAAACATGCTACGCTATGACGGATGATCGTTTAGACCTTTTATGACATTACCACATCTGCAAACTCCACTTCCTTTTATCTATGCTCACTAAAGAGAGCTCACAAAATTCTCCCCATTAACTCACAGAATGCTGACAGTTTCCAGAGGAAGGGCAGGTGAACAGGAGAACAGATGTAAATATTCTGCGGAATAGGTTCAGCAATCAAACTCATGTTTATTGCAAACATTTGTATTTATTAAACAATTAACCGGCTCAAAGGAAGGCCTGACAGTAGTGAGGTTAAACTATGTCATTACAGCATCATTCTGTTCATAAAAGAATTGTCAGAGGCAACTTGATCTAGTGAAACTAACCAGGAGACTGGGATTCTGGACCCAGGATCTCATCCTGCCTTTCCCACTGACCATATATTAGTCACTTAAGCCCAAGATTTTGGGTGCCAACAATCTGAGACACACAAAAGTCAGTGGACACCATTGAAAATGTGGGCCTTAACCTCTCTGCTTCAGTTTTCCCACCCGTAAATATTCTGCGTTGGGAAGGTTAGAGTGCCACAGAAACACAGCAAATTGTTATTGATTATGAATCATGCAACTGCAGAGGGCTTTCGCTATGGATTCAGGCTATGCGTCCAGGAGCTGCTAAGAAAAGGTTCTTGCAATATTCCAAGACTGACAAACCAACCCCATCCTGACTTTTCCCTTTTGGGACAGAACCCCATGGGAATGCTGACAGCTTCCTCTGTATACAAGATAGCAACATACTGAAAAGAGACCAAGACACGTACTGCCTTTAACTCCCATTAGCGCTAATGGCAGTCAGGCACTTGAAATCCTTTCTAGGGGCCAGACCCAAAGTCCTCTGAAGTCATGGAAAGACTAATTCGTACCCATGAGCCCTGGTTCAGACCCAAGGCAGGAATACAGTGTGCAGAGTAAGGATCAGAATAGACCACATAGTTGAATAAAACCTTCACAAGGATCTTACATGGTCTTCTCTGACCACGCATGAACATACCTCTTAAGACGCTAAACCAAAACCCCCTCTTGAATTCCAGTACATAACCAGCCCCAGTTCCCTGTCGAAACTCCGGGCAGCATACAGCGCCCTTTGCAAGCTCCCTGAAGGATGCCTGGGCATAAAAAGCCCTTTGTGGTCTTCAATGGGCCACGTGCACAGCGACAAACTCTTCTGAGAATCAGCTCAAACTGCAGAGAGTATCAAAGAGACAGGACTTTGTCTGTGAGCAGAGGCACCGTGGGGGCTCCACAGAAATACCCCCAGTGGGAGCCCTTGGCACACAGAGTCATTCCAGCCTCTTTCCAGCTTGAGCCAGGCGTCGCTAACTAAAAACCTCGGGGGAGGGTGCTCAGCGCCCAGGGAACCCAGGCGGCTCCGCGATGCCCCGCGGCCACAAAGGCCTTTCCCGGCGCTGCCCGGGCCGCGCAGAGGCACCTCCTGGGGCAGGCTGCAGACAGGCAGCGCCGTGCGCCCCGGGGATGTTCGGTCCCCAGGAGCTGCAGTCAGGCGCTGAGCTCCGACCCCCCAGCACCCAGACCCCGCCGCCCAGGGGCGCTCGGCCCATTGCACCCCTCCCTTCCCGGGGTGCCCCCCAAACTCTCACCCCTGCCCAGGGCGCTCCCCTCCCGGCAGCCCCGCGTCGCCTCCATCCACCCCCCGGCTCGGGCACCCTCCCCGGGGGACGCTCCTGCACCCCTCCGGGGCGCCCCGCGCCTGGGCGCCGCTCCCCACTCACCCAGCGGCGTCTGCGGGCGGCGTCGGGGGCTGGGGCTGGGGCTGCGCCCCCGGGGCATGGCCAGCCGGGCGCTGCGGGCTCCGCGCGGCTCCGGCGCTGCGATCACATCGGGAGCCGGGGGCGTGTGGCTCCGGCGCCTCGTTTTTTCCGGGTTAATTTTTACGCTTCGCGTCCGCAGCAAACCCAGCCCCGGATGTGAGTGCAGGGGCCGGGAGCCGGCTGGGTGCGCTCAGGGTGCGGGAGCGCTGCGCGCCCCGGGAGCCGGGGGCAGCGGGGACGGGCGCTAGAGACCTGCCCCCGCTCTGTGGGGCCCGAGCCGAGCCCGCTGCCTGCAGCCGAGCGCGTCGCCAGCCCGGGGGGGGGGAGGAGGGGGTGATTGTACAAATACAGCCTCACCCCGGGCAAAAAAGTGTAGATTTGCACCAATTTTTTTGTCATGCTTGTCCCGCGCCTTCTGGCATCGCCCTGGCTTTACCCTGCCCGCCCCAGTCCACACACGTATCCGTAGCCAGGGTCAGCACCTGTGGTTTTCATTCAGCAGCCGCGACTTTTGGGGGTTCAGCGTCAATGAACGTGGCTCCGCACGGGAAGGGCAGGCTGCTGAAATAAAAAATCTCAGGACTGCTAAACCCCATGAACCAGTTTTGTTTGGGGGTGGTTGCGTTTTGTTTTCCAAACCACTTTTCACCAGTTCTTACAGCTGTGTGCGGCTCATGTCATGAAAGATGTCATGGTGATGCACAAACAGAAGGGGGCAGATTTAAAAGTTGCTCTGGGAATCTCATCCGCTTCCTGACTTGTGCATGATTAAAATCTCCACCGTAATGATGCAGTTACATTTTGACACATAATTCAGACCCCACTCCTTAGAAAACATTAGGGCACATGAGTAGTTCCGTCCAGTGAATGCACATCGAGTTAATCCAGTGCTGACACCTTGCACAATCATGGTCTCAGGTTGCACCTGCCTTTCCTTTAAAATCCACTGAGATATATGCATCAACCCACCGCAGAATTTGCAGGTTGCATCCGCAGCTGAAAAATAATTCTACAACAAATCAGTGAATCATACCAGGGGTTCCTGAATCAGGACCCTCCTACTTTCATATTTTCATATGTTTCATATTCTCTGTGTGTATATAAAGTCTGCTGCAGTTTCCAGGGTATGCATCCGATGAAGTGAGCTGTAGCTCACGAAAGCTCATGCTCAAATAAATTGGTTAGTCTCTAAGGTGCCACAAGTACTCCTTTTCTTTTTGCGAATACAGACTAACACGGCTGTTACTCTGAGACCCTCCTACTGTGATATTGGCTGTCTGCTTGAAAGGCAAACAAAACAAAAAAAACCACCCCAAAAACCTGTCTAGCATATTACATCAGCAAACTGCCTGTGATGTGATGGCCAGTATTTCCCCAGTGTGGAATTGAGGACCATAAAGTTTTACTTGGTGACAAAATGCAACTGAAAGCCAAAAATGACTGGGATTATTTATAAGATTGCTCCATGTTGTTGTTCATGAAAATGGGGCTGGAAGAGTGAACAATGTCAATATAGCTGGTTGGGTAGCAGTGAAATGCTACCTAATGTCACTTTTAATACACGCCTCTACTGTCACTTATGTGTACTTCATTAAAATGTTGCAAAAATGCAGTTTAGAGTGGACATACCTGTGAAAGCAGTTTGAGACGCTATGTTCCTTTATTGATGAAGTAATGAGCCCATTCCTATCTTCCTGAATCTCACTGAACAAAGCATTCTTCCCACCCCACCCCCAGAAGGCTTTCTTTGTTGTTTGTAAAGCGGAAGGCAATACATCATGTATAAGGCTAGAACAGTTATTGAGCCAATGCCTAATTCGCCCTAGACACCTCCTCCGCTACGGCAAATAACCTTTCTTTATGCAATTGAATAGATCTGTTCCTCATGCAGAGGGCTCCTGCTTCTGTAACGGCCAGAGTGAACTTGCACAGAAACTGTGTGATAAGTGTTTTCTTTCTCCGTGGAGCAGTTTTGCAGAGACCCAAGTCAGAAATTCCGATGAGATTTTGAGTATTTTTCCAAGCAACGTAAGTAACAATCTCCAACTCCCCACATCTTACTTTTTTAGAGAATGGACAGTAGTTTTGAAAACCTATTATGCACTATCTGGAGCACATTAGATGAAATCTTGTTATTACTTAAAATATTTGCTTCACCCCTAAGAATTTCCTGTGGTCTGGGTCATTTTTAGAACAAGTTTTTTTCCCTTCCATGCTGAAGACATCACCCAACTGCTCTTACTGCAACCGTGCGTGTTCATTGTTGTCTGACCATATTCGGGGCCTGAACTTCCTGAGAGGCAGATAAGAACCACATTGGCTGCAATCAAGAGTAGGCACTGACCCATTGCAGAATACTGCAGAGCGAGGCACGGGCCCTGTTCAGCAGAGCATTTAAGCATGTGCATAAGTCCATCCCTACTCAGCACCAAGCACGTGCTTATTCTGGCTGGGTGAAGTACACCGCCAGGCAGAGGAGCAGAACATGCCTAAGTGCCACTTAAGACTTCCACCTCCGCACAAGGTTGCACCCAGGGAGCCCAGCCGTGGGTGAAGGAGCTATTGTTTTCATAGCCTGCTTTCAAACCACACATTAAATGAGATTATATGGAACATGCAACTCCTTGGCAGTTTCACAGTCCCAGCCACAGATACTGGCTTTTGCCTATTGGCCATGGCAAAGCCTTCAAGCCGTGAGTTCCTCTCGATGCCCCTTCCAGGGGCGTGAGCTTTTCCTTCCTGGTTTATCATCTCGACAGTTCCATCCTCTCACAAATATTTTGCTGTTGAGATACAGCCCTGCAACAGACCCAAACATCTCATGGAAACTGTAACCAGAATGTGTTATTACTTCTGGAGAGAACCCCTGCGCTCCCTCCCCAGCTCTCCCTCTCAACCACCCCCAAGAGCTGCTTGCAAGAGCGTGGGATCCTAGATACCAGTTCTATGTACTTCAGCGCTGTTACACCAGACCTGGATCTGGGCAGAAGGATCTGTTTGGCTGCGTGCAGTTAGAGTGGGGTGGGTGTCTGAGATGAGGGGCAGTGATCAGGAATTAATCACGCCACAGCAAATCATTCAAAGAACTGTATTTTTTTCTCCTTGCTTCCCCTTCCCCCAGCTGGCTGATTCGTGTCTGCCTCTGGACATCATCTCTGCTGGTGACAGTCAGAACAAACTACCCCTCGCCTACCTCCTCCCTCAGGAAAACTCAGAATCATCATCAGGGTTTGTTATTACAGTACCCACACAGAAGACAGCCCTTGTCCCAAGAAGCAGTGTGAACTCACAGGTAAAGAACATGCACCGACTGGATGTACATTGGTGGACAGATTCACTACCTGGGATAGTCTAAATACTCCAGTCAGGTCCCATAGCTTTTTCCTCACTGCAGGTTTCCTTAAATAACAGAAGCCGCAAAAGTCTCCAGGTAAGTAAAACAGCACATTTAGCCTCAGAGACTTACCCCACTTTCTCCAAACTGGGGAGGGCACTTCCCTGCCCAGTAGGAAACCTGTCCCAGCCATTATAGGACACCCCACCTTCCATGTCCTAGCTACATCCCCCACTATTGGGGGTAGGCTGCCTCCATTTATAGCAGGCATCACTGCCAACCTGGAGTCACATGACCCCTCTGTCATGTGCTCCCTGAACTCAGTCCTCTTGGCCTCAGGACCCCAAGCCTTAGAACAGGAGACCTGTGCACTGTTACCCAGGAGTCAAGGGGGTCTGGGTCTCCATTGCCATGCACCTTGTGAGGTCATTTATAACAAGCGCAAAGTGGGTATAAAAGTCTACCAGGGTGACTGGCTAGCCTTTTACATTCCCAATGTACCGGGGCGCATGACTGTGCAAGGTACAGGGCAGTGGAGAATCAGGCCCAAGGTTTATAGGGGAAACTATTGCGTCACGGGTTGCAAAAGGGGACAAATACCCAAAGCCATGCTGCCTAGTGAAGGGTGCTTATTCAACCCAAGCAGGTGACAGGTTTAGAGGCACTTCATGATATCCTTTAAAATGTCTTTTTAGGTGGGTGCAGCTTCAGTTACCCTCTGCTTAGGTGGCTCCTTTTTAGCTCACAAGGTCATGTTTCCTAGTCAACTAGTCACCCAGGTGTGACTGGATGCATGGTGGTGAACGCAGTTTTTATCATTTCTGTCGCTTAGATGCAATCATAAATACATGTACATAATGCAGCAGCCGTATGCAAACTTTCTGGGTTGGAAAAGAGTTGGGTGAACTATTCTCAGTAAACAATTTATCTGGTGAATGGAGTCTCTTTTTCTTTAAGTGGATTATCCATGGCTGGATTTGGCTTTTTCACAGCTATTTTTCTTATTTTGAATGATCTAATTGCTAGTTTATGCTAACGTATTTCAGCCTGTGGGCTGCTTGCAAGCTATTTGCCATTCTGTATAATTGTTCACCTAAGTTACATGGGGCCAGATTTTCAAGAGCTCAGCTCTCATTAAGACACCAAATTAAGTGGCCAGCTTTTCAAAAGAGTTGGGTCCTGAGGCCTTTTAAAAACCTAATTCTGGGTGCTAAGCACTTGAAAATGTGTCCCATGCTGTTGTTCCTGTTTTTTGACTGGCTGTCTCCCAAGTTCCCTGGGAGATTCCAAGCCAGTTGCCTGAATACATCTGACATGAATACTTGTGATCTTGTGCAAAAGCACATTTGCACGAGTATTTACGATCCTTCCCCTTTCTGTGAACAAAATGGTGCTTGCACAGATGATAGAAAGCAAAAAGTAAACACAAGTAAATACATGTGAACACCCTCAAAATAAATTATTTTATTTTATTCAAATGAGACAAAGAGGATGAGGTTTTTCTTTTATTGGACCAACTTCTGTTGGCGAGAGAGAGACAAGCTTTCGAGCTACACAAAACTCTTCTTCAGGCCTGGGAAAGGTGCTCAGGGTGTCACAGCTAAACACACGATTACACAGATAGTTTAACACAAGGAGTTAGGGCATATTCTAAACGTATGTCTACACAGCAAAGACAAAGTGGCCAGCTTTTCAGAAGGGGTCAGCACGTTGGGTCCTGAGGCCTTTTAAAACGACTCGGGCTCGTGGGGCCCAGGCTAACGGGATGTTTCATTGCTGTGCAGATGTCTGGGCTCAGGCTGGACCCCTAGCTCTGGGACC